AAAGCAAAAAGAGATAGTCCGCGTAGCACCACCAGACTGATATAAAATAAAGATCACTCGTGCCACTCTGGCACAAACTCGCAGACAGACCAATCCTGCCAAAGAGAAGGGTGATGTCGAAGGTTGTGGCGGCTGCCGTTATGATGTGAAGCGAATTGAGTCATGGATAAGGATACCGCAATCATTGATCCAATGCATTGCAAGCCAAGTTGTCGATCGTTCGTGGTACGTACCATCCAGCCCGGTACTGATTTCATCACAACAGAGTACGGGAGCTCCAATGCACATCATTTCGGCTACCGTCACACGGCGTTTCTCTCCTCCCGAGACTCCACGAACCTTTTCTTGATCGCCCACAAAGGTGTCCTTGACACGAGTCAATCCAAGTGCTTCCAAAACGAGGTTTACGATTGACTTTTCGGCATCCATCTCGGCAATTCGCTGATCGATTTCTGGTCCGGATCCTTGCCAGGGTCGTTTATGAGTGCCGGCCAATCGACAACGAAATGCAAATTCACAAGTTTCAAATACGGTAAGGTATGGATGCAATCGGTCAATCTGATCCATGAATCCAATGAGACTGGGCCAATGAACTTTTGGCGACTCGCTGCTGGGTGAAATTCCAGAGAGTGTGACTTCTCCCGACTGCTGGTAGTCCTTTCCCTTGGGAAGAATGTCTGCAATGAACCTTAACATGGTCGACTTGCCCGACCCGGGTCTTTTTTGGGGGGAGGAGGAACAAAGACAAGACGTGCAGGGGTAAGCGATTGCTCGCATGTCAAGCAAACTTTTAAAGTCAAGTTCACTTACCCTCCAAGCATGAGTACCATTTTGCCTGGTTCAAAGATGAGGTTGACATTTTCAATAATGGTAGTATCCAGAGCGTAGTCCTGCCACTGTCCTTTGGTGACGAGTCGTTTGATCCTTCGATACCATTTGAAGCAAATGCCGGCCGATGTGACGGTTTCAATGTGTTGTTTGGCCCTTCTGGTCCTTGGCTGTTCTCCTTCTTCGCCATCCTGATTGACTTCGTCGTAGCCCTTTTTCTGTTTGTTTGGATCGTCTTCGTAGTGATTGGTGGCGACGTATTTGGCATTTTTGACGCGAAGATCCAAGAGAGGCATTTGTGCTCTGAGAATATCGGAATTTTTCTTGACCTTTTGAATCAAGGCATGATCAATGATGGATTCTTTGACACTGTCAGTATCTTCCGACATGGACGATTGTCGCATCGAAGACAAACGTAGATCGTTGAGGAATTTCTGATGACTGGCGACGCCCTCTTTGAGTTCCGTGTTGACATGGGGCGGAGCACTTTTGGTGACATTTTCATCCTCCGGAATGGCTAGTTCTTTCTTGAGACGTTGTCTGAGTTTTTCCGGAATTTCCAAGTTGTTGCTGTGTGCATTGGAATGGCAAAAAGAGATGATCAGATCAGACCAATGGATGGTACCTTAAGCCAAGCATTATGCATACCGTATGCATAGCTAGCTAGCAAGCACAAACACTTACGCTGCACAGTATTGCAACACTATACAGCAAATAAAGGCAAAAGCAAACAGGAGAGTGCAGAGAGTGAGATTTATGCAGCTTTTCAAGTCCAGACATCCACCCATCGAATGGCTAGCTAGCTAGCTAAGTGCTTCCCGGCTTCAGATCAGAGGCCATAGCAGCAAATCATAGCTAGCCAGCCAGAAACTGGCAGGGAAAAAAAGGACTCTGCCAGGAATCTTGGCACCAGGTACTGCACCATGGCTGAACCTGTCTCCCTGCCCCCTTCAGGTACCGGTAGGTAGCTCTTTCAGGTAGGTCCTCAGTCCCTCAGACACTGCAACCGGGCACTGCACATCAATTGCTCACCTTCCTCCACAGAATTTTGAATATTTTCCAGACTGTCTAAAGTCAAAATCTCCCCATCGGCCATGACAGCTCCACCTCCAATAGAAGAACGGTGGGAGGCATTGACTCCACCAACGCCAACACTACCATTGGTTCTAACTGAGGACATGCTATGATGCTTCTCGTACTGAACCAAGGGCACCGTATAGCTTGATCAGGTTAAAAAGCAGAGTTGAGCAGAATGGGACAAGAAGAGCAGATCAGCTGTAAAGTGCGAAGATGATCTGCTGGTCTCTTCTATCCACTCGATACCTTTACGTCGCCTCTTCTGTTGCGTTTGTGCTGTATGGGCAGCTGCTGAGGTAGCATGCTGGTTGGTTGCGAACTCCTATCTTCCAGGTCCAGGACGACACTGAGAACAAACGGTGAAAGGGAGGATCTTTTTGGATGATACTGGAGGAATGAATGAGGAGAATGACCAACCACTGACACCACGGGTAATAATGCCTCGTCACCTGGATGGACATGAATGAGGAAAATGACCGACCAGTGACATTAAGCGGCAGAGCGGCTGATGTAGAAGACAGTCCAACTAGCTGGTCCAACCAGCCACCGTACTCAGAAGTCCCCAAGGTATGGAAGCTTTGTGGATAAAGCATGCAATGCAGTGTGGTGTCTTCCCCTCTTTACCCCGAAAGTTCTACCGGTATGCATTTGCGAGGACTTCAACCATATTGGTACGCAATCCCTCATGTGTGTGTCTCTGATCTTGCGACCAGCCACTACGAGCCACCTGGGCTGAAGACGAGCCCCATTTTGGTGCATGCTGGGGAGCCGCCTACAACTAACTTGTTGACTGCGAGTTCATTGTTTGGCCAACTTTTGGTTTCAAAAAATTACATTTAGCTAGACTAAAGCACTTTTGGGACACGTTTGTGCATGCTTGCTCAAACTTCCTTCTTCAAATCCATTGATGGGTCCACAGCAGCAGCAGCACTATTGTTTCCATGGACAAAACCCAGAAAGACCAATCCACCAACAATCGTTACAGCAGCCAGCTTGGAACCAAACAAGAGCTCCAAGGCATAGAGGGGACTTAAGACACCAAGAGACAAGCCAAAAGGAACAACTGAACCACCCAATGCTGGCATGGAACCAGTCGGAACAAATCAAACGCCATCTGAACAAAATGAGCCACGCCATCATTGTTGTACTTCTGGCACCACTTGGGGTTGATCCCACCCATGCAAACCAAACGAGGCACAGTCATGAGCAGGTGCGCAACACGATGGTGAGAGAACATGGACAACACAGAGTGGCCGTGGCCTTGTAGTTCCATGGTTTGAGGATCGCCATTGGGTTGGAGGGAAATGTAGCAGGAGGTTGCAATGCCATCCACCACAAGGGTGCCATCCTGAGTCAGAGGAGCATAGATTCCCTGGCGCTGGCAGTCTCAATCTTGGTGACGACAGCAGCTCCGTCTTGTCCATGTCCAGCTTGAGCATGGGAGAGACTATCACCAACCTTGATGGATTTGGCCGTGACTGGGGCATCCTTCCCCTGCACATAGACCAAATGCTGACCAGTGACTTCCAATGGTTTGTAGGCACTTGTGGTGTAGATTTGGAGGAATTCTGTGTCAGTGGTGGCATCATTGTGAGCAAAGGCATAGATGGGCAGGAAGCGGTTGTTGGCTGTCAAGACCATGTCTCCAATCTCCACTCAGTCATCTTGGTAGGTACCGGTGCTTGCCTTGGCCTGGTTGTTCCACTGCCACAGTGGCTTCCTCGGAGAAACAAGAGGAAGCGGGAACGGGAGTCGGAGCAGCCGTGCTGAGATTATCGCAAGAACACGTAATCACCAGGTTTAGGTTGCTATCCGCAAAATAATCCACAAACAGAGTATCGGCTGATGTCTTGGCGGAAACGGAGGTTCCGCAAGAAGTTGTAGTGTCCCCGCTTGTCCCACCTTGAAACATTCTAACTCGGTTGTTGCCGGCGGTGCAAGCAACGTCGCAAGTGACATCCGTTGTTCCAGTAGGGGCTGGAATTGCTGTCATAGTTCCCGCACCGAGGTTGTCCGGAATATTGAGGGTTAGGCAGACAGAAGCACTGCAGGATGTGGTCATCAATGTGACGATACCGGTAATAATGGTGAAGGCAGAAACAATCTTCATGGTGGGAGACCTTACTATAACAGTTTTTATTATTATTCCAGATTTGGGAATTGTGGGACTCTTCAAGTTGTTTGATCTGTTCCTTGCACCTTGCACCTTGCACCTTGCACCTTGCACCTTGCATCTTCTTTAGGGACACGTCTCCTCTGCGGGCAAGAGCGAAAAGGAGAGCCAACGGCTCGGAACACGGCGAGAAGATAGATGCCGAGAGATACTCAGTAGATGTCAGTCCTGGCTGAATCGTCCCTCCTAAATCGTCCCTCCTAATGGACGATTGAAGGGACGATTCCAAATCGTCCCTTAAATCGTTCCTCTGTTCCTACGAGATCGTCGAGGAGTAATGAGGAGCCAGCCACCCTACGTCGTCGAACGTCGAACGGCCGTCGTCAATTAACTCGTTGATCCTGCTATTTTAAAATAGCACCCAATGATATCATCCTCTCTACTGTGAGCATGTAAAGGTGAAGCTGAGAACTTGGGAATAATTGGAAGAAAGCTCTACATGTAGCTAGTTTGACATAAGATATGCCTTCTACATGGCTGCCACCACTACAACCGGCACATTGCTGCGACAAGCAAAGACTGTAGACAACTCTATGCATAGATAGTTAGTTTGGTTGTTTAGGTGCATATTGGTTGAGTTCATCCTGTAGCCATCATTCGGTTCTTGTACCGTACCGGTAGCCATCCTGTATCCTGTGGTGCTTTTTCACTCTACCGGTACCAGGTATTAGTACCTGGTACCATCAGTACCGTATCTGCGGCGGCGGTGCAGCGCCTTGGTGGACAATGATAATCGATGACGGTAGGGTTAAGGCTAAACAGTTGGCATTATTTAAGTCTTTGAAAGATCTTTAAGTCTTTCAGTAACTTGATCCCACCCTACGGGACTAGAAATCTGGGATAGTCTTTACAGGGTACATGTAAAGTCAAGTTCAAAATATCTAAAAGCAAAGGTACACAGGCTGTTTTTGCTGGCTTTAGCTTCTTTACAAACTTGAGAATTCTCGAATTCTCATTAGAGTACTACATGTACGGTAGTTCGCTGTACCGGTACTGTACGACATTCTGGTACCGTACTAGTTTGTACCAGTACGTTAGAGATCTAGCTAGACGGAGCTCTGGAGCTGAGACAAGCTCAGACAAGTCTCGAGAACTTCAACATGTGTAGAAAACGTATACCATGTGCTACACAGCGGGTTCCATCTTGCGCTTACCGGGACCGTCCGACGGTTTTCAGGATTTAAAAACTTGAATTCCACGACTGACAACATCCTCAAACATCCTCTTAAACATCTCTTAACATCCTCTTAAATCTTCAACTTCCTCTTAAACATCCTTTCAAAAATACATCCTCTTAACAACACCCTCTTAAAGCTTCGAAACATCCTTTAAGCCTTCATTGAAACACAATAGAACTTCCTCTTATCACGAATGAACATCCTCTTAAATAAACATCCTCTTAAACATCCTCTTAAATACTCAAAATCCTCTTAAACATCCTCTAAATCTTCACATCCTCTTACATCCGCTTAACGGGAACCAGGATTTTGATCAGTCGTGGCATTTTAAAACCTGGGAAAACCGTCGAACGGTCCGGTACTGCGTTATCCATCTTTGTGCCCGAATCGATTCCGAAGCCAGAATGTGTTCGGTTGCCGAGGGGTGAACACTGTAGTTCATTTATTTATTGTTAATACTATCAAAGAATGCTGTGCCTTTCATTGAAGAATCCCAAAAGACAATGCAGACAATCAAGAGTCTTATGGTGCGCCCGTGAATTCTTGCGAACACGTTCATCATGCAAGTGCTTCGGTATTGGGCCAGAAGCTCAAGGAGAAACGAAGCTTTTTTCATTCATCTTTCAGTACGGTACTCTGGCAGAAGCGCTAGCAACTAACTACTGTATCTGGCTGACTAGCTAAAACCAAGCCACTGAGTACAACCCACTGGAAATGTGCGAGCACATCAGATTTCTGATCCCACCTTCGGTGGATCTTGGAAGACTCTCAAGGCCCTTTCGGAGCGAAGAAAAACAGACAGCTCCAAAAAACAGAACAAAAACTCATAAACAAGAGCACCCAAAAACTAAAAATCACTATGATGCTATTAGGCAACGAGAAATTAGTTCAGGAGGCCAGGAAGCTTGTGAGTGCCTACGGCTTAGAAGCAGTTGAAGTGTGCCTCCACAACATCCGCAATGACAAGGAATTGGGAAGAGAAAAAGGTCTTTCGGACGAGACGAATGCCATTGAAGACCCTGAAGTCGTTCCAGCTTCACCCGCTCCAACTCCGGCCCCTCCCAAGTCAGACGACATATCCCTCGCTTCAGTACTTGCTACTGCTACGAGCATAAACAAGGATCTTGACAAGGCTCTACAGCTTGTTCACGACCGCAACAAGAAAGCTTCTGCGACTGTGGGTTTTCAGATGAACTCCAGTGATGACCGTAAAGTCATGGCGGCCATAATCGACGCATCCTTCGATTCTCTCTTTGCTATTGACTTGAATGGCTGCATTCAATTCGCAAACCAAACGGCTGCACAGGTCTTTGGCTACGAAAAGGAAGAGTTGATCGGCAGTAACATCTCTTGCACTGTCGGGGGTGGCCATGCTGCTTCTCATGATGGATACCTCCAAAAGTACAAGGAAACAGGGGTCACCAACTTGATGGGATCAATGCGAGAAGTACAAGCAAGGCGCAAAGATGGAACAGAGTTTCCAGTGAAGCTGGGCATCAAGAGAGTGTATCGACAAAACAACGACTTGCTTGTGGCTTTCATTCGGGATATCACTGAGCAGAAGAAAGCTGAGGCACTGCAATCCAAAGTACAAGAAGACCAAAAAGTGAGGGCTGCCATCTTGGATGCTTCCTTTGATGCCATGTTTGCCATTAATCTGGAGGGCAAGATTGAGCTGGTGAACCTGGCTGCTATCAAGCAGTTTGGATATGATAGCCAAGAAGGCCTTGTTGGCAACAACATTGACATGATTGTTGGTGGGGGGCATGCCAGATCTCATAATCAGTACCTGAAAAAGTACAAGGACACAGGCGTTGAAAGGCTGATGGGAACCCTCAGAGAGGTCAAGGGCAAACGCAAGGATGGATCTGAGTTCCCTTGCATCATTGGAATCAAGAGAGTTGACAGGAATGGCAGTAGTGATAATCCTCTCATGGTGGCCTTCATTCGGGATATCACCAAGCAGAAGGAAGCAGATGCACTCCAGTTGAGAGTCCAGGAAGACCAAAAGGTCAGGGCTGCCATCTTGGATGCCTCCTTTGATGCCATGTTTGCCATTGATCTGGAGGGCAAGATTGAGCTGGTGAACCTGGCTGCTATCAAGCATTTGGATATGATAGCCAAGAAGACCTTGTTGGCAACAACATTGACATGATTGTTGGCGGGGGACACGCTACAAACCACGATAAATATTTGAAGAACTATCATCAAACTGGGGAAAATCGTTTTGTTGGCTCCATGAGAGAAGTGAAGGGCCGGCGGAAAGATGGATCAGAGTTCCCCTGTGTCATTGGCATCAAGAGAGTGAATCGAATTGATCAAGGGAATCCGCTAATGGTGGCATTCATTCGAGATATCACGCAACAGAAGGAAATGGAGCATCTACAGTTAGCCTTGCAAGATGAGAGGGTTCGATCGGCAATCTTGGACACATCCTTTGATTCGCTGTTTGCAACCAGCCCCGATGGAATCATCCACATGGTGAACAGAGTGGCTGTGGACGTTCTTGGGTACAAAAATGAAAACGAACTACTTGGCGAGGATGTCAAGAACATTGTCATTGGTAAGACTTTGCTATTGGTATCCCTACTTTTGTATACCGGTATACCGGTTGGTCTGCTTTCTCACTCACACTATGATCTTTGCTGCTGATTTGTTCAGTGAGTATTACCCAGTACCCATACTCACTTGACTTTGGAATTGTGAGTACTACTCAGTACCCATACTCACATGCTAAAACAGTGTGAGTACCACGCCCTGCACGTAATCACCAGGTTTAGGTTGCTATCCGCAAAATAATCCACAAACAGAGTATCGGCTGATGTCTTGGCGGAAACGGAGGTGAACATCCTCTTAAATAAACATCCTCTTAACAACATCCTCTTAAATACTCAACATCCTCTTAAACATCCTCTTAAATCTTCACATCCTCTTACATCCGCTTAACGCGAACCAGGATTTTGATCAGTCGTGGCAGTTTTAAAAGCCTGAGAGAAAACCGTCGAACGGTCCGGTACTGCGTTATCCATCTTTGTGCCCGAATCGATTCCGAAGCCAGAATGTGTTCGGTTGCCGAGGGGTGAACACTGTAGTTCATTTATTTATTGTTAATACTATCAAAGAATGCTGTGCCTTTCATTGAAGAATCCCAAAAGACAATGCAGACAATCAAGAGTCTTATGGTGCGCCCGTGAATTCTTGCGAACACGTTCATCATGCAAGTGCTTCGGTATTGGGCCAGAAGCTCAAGGAGAAACGAAGCTTTTTTCATTCATCTTTCAGTACGGTACTCTGGCAGAAGCGCTAGCAACTAACTACTGTATCTGGCTGACTAGCTAAAACCAAGCCACTGAGTACAACCCACTGGAAATGTGCGAGCACATCAGATTTCTGATCCCACCTTCGGTGGATCTTGGAAGACTCTCAAGGCCCTTTCGGAGCGAAGAAAAACAGACAGCTCCAAAAAACAGAACAAAAACTCATAAACAAGAGCACCCAAAAACTAAAAATCACTATGATGCTATTAGGCAACGAGAAATTAGTTCAGGAGGCCAGGAAGCTTGTGAGTGCCTACGGCTTAGAAGCAGTTGAAGTGTGCCTCCACAACATCCGCAATGACAAGGAATTGGGAAGAGAAAAAGGTCTTTCGGACGAGACGAATGCCATTGAAGACCCTGAAGTCGTTCCAGCTTCACCCGCTCCAACTCCGGCCCCTCCCAAGTCAGACGACATATCCCTCGCTTCAGTACTTGCTACTGCTACGAGCATAAACAAGGATCTTGACAAGGCTCTACAGCTTGTTCAAGACCGCAACAAGAAAGCTTCTGCGACTGTGGGTTTTCAGATGAACTCCAGTGATGACCGTAAAGTCATGGCGGCCATAATCGACGCATCCTTCGATTCTCTCTTTGCTATTGACTTGAATGGCTGCATTCAATTCGCAAACCAAACGGCTGCACAGGTCTTTGGCTACGAAAAGGAAGAGTTGATCGGCAGTAACATCTCTTGCATTGTCGGGGGTGGCCATGCTGCTTCTCATGATGGATACCTCCAAAAGTACAAGGAAACAGGGGTCACCAACTTGATGGGATCAATGCGAGAAGTACAAGCAAGGCGCAAAGATGGAACAGAGTTTCCAGTGAAGCTGGGCATCAAGAGAGTGTATCGACAAAACAACGACTTGCTTGTGGCTTTCATTCGGGATATCACTGAGCAGAAGAAAGCTGAGGCACTGCAATCCAAAGTACAAGAAGACCAAAAAGTGAGGGCTGCCATCTTGGATGCTTCCTTTGATGCCATGTTTGCCATTAATCTGGAGGGCAAGATTGAGCTGGTGAACCTGGCTGCTATCAAGCAGTTTGGATATGATAGCCAAGAAGGCCTTGTTGGCAACAACATTGACATGATTGTTGGTGGGGGGCATGCCAGATCTCATAATCAGTACCTGAAAAAGTACAAGGACACAGGCGTTGAAAGGCTGATGGGAACCCTCAGAGAGGTCAAGGGCAAACGCAAGGATGGATCTGAGTTCCCTTGCATCATTGGAATCAAGAGAGTTGACAGGAATGGCAGTAGTGATAATCCTCTCATGGTGGCCTTCATTCGGGATATCACCAAGCAGAAGGAAGCAGATGCACTCCAGTTGAGAGTCCAGGAAGACCAAAAGGTCAGGGCTGCCATCTTGGATGCCTCCTTTGATGCCATGTTTGCCATTGATCTGGAGGGCAAGATTGAGCTGGTGAACCTGGCTGCTATCAAGCAATTTGGATATGATAGCCAAGAAGACCTTGTTGGCAACAACATTGACATGATTGTTGGCGGGGGACACGCTACAAACCACGATAAATATTTGAAGAACTATCATCAAACTGGGGAAAATCGTTTTGTTGGCTCCATGAGAGAAGTGAAGGGCCGGCGGAAAGATGGATCAGAGTTCCCCTGTGTCATTGGCATCAAGAGAGTGAATCGAATTGATCAAGGGAATCCGCTAATGGTGGCATTCATTCGAGATATCACGCAACAGAAGGAAATGGAGCATCTACAGTTAGCCTTGCAAGATGAGAGGGTTCGATCGGCAATCTTGGACACATCCTTTGATTCGCTGTTTGCAACCAGCCCCGATGGAATCATCCACATGGTGAACAGAGTGGCTGTGGACGTTCTTGGGTACAAAAATGAAAACGAACTACTTGGCGAGGATGTCAAGAACATTGTCATTGGTAAGACTTTGCTATTGGTATCCCTACTTTTGTATACCGGTATACCGGTTGGTCTGCTTTCTCACTCACACTATGATCTTTGCTGCTGATTTGTTCAGGTTGGAAAGGTCAACTGAAGCATTACCAAAATACTGGCGAGAGACAACGTGCTGGTTCGGAGTTGGTCATGCTACGCAAAAATGGTGATGAAATTCCAGTGTTGATGTGCATCGAGCAGATCGAATTTGAGGATAGAGAGCCACTTCTCGTTGCTTTTGTGCACGACATCACGGAACAGAAGAAAGCCACAGAGCTCGAGCTTGAGGTCCGAGCAGCAGAAGAACTTCTTTGCAACATGCTGCCAGAAGAGATTGCAGATCGCTTGAAGCTCGATCCCCAACATCTCGCAGATCATCACGACAAGGCGACCATTTTGTTTGCCGGTAAGTTGGTACCACTGGTACAAGGTTGGGAGCCACTTGAAACACTGTCACTCGCTCCAGTTACCACGAAGAGCGGTCTCACATCTTTAAATTTCGTCATGGTATGGACGACAGATATCGTGGGGTTCACGGCAATGTCGAGCAAAATGGAACCAGGGGAACTGGTCAAGGTACTCAACGATTTGTTCACTCGCTTTGATCATTTGGTCGAGCGCTACGGTCTGAACAAGGTGAAGACGATAGGTATGTGGCACGTCGATGTATACAACGGGCTTCCCTTGCATGAATGCCGCCTTTGTGGTCATATTTCTCACGCTTTCCTTGCATCGTGCAGGCGACTGCTACATGGTGACCTCCATCCCTTCGTACCAAGATCCTGATAGCGCCGTGGCCGCCATGTGTCACTTTGCTCTTGATATGATTGATGCCTTACGCGACTTCAACGGCGAAAATCCGGTGAACAATCTGGACTTGCGGGTTGGTATCAACACTGGTCCGGTTGTTGCCGGCGTGGTGGGAACCTCTCGTTTTCTTTACGACCTATGGGGCGACGCTGGTAAGGGGCTCCATCACTGCGCCGTCCTGATATTAATAGCAGAAATCCACTCAACCATTTCCTTTCCTTTCCTTTCCTTTCCTTTCCAACTCCCAGTGAATCTGGCGTCTCGTATGGAGAGTACGGGAATCCCATCGCGGGTTCAGGTGACCGAATCTGTCGTCAGCGCTGTGTGCAAAGATGAGTTCGAGTTCGAGTCACGTGGTGAAGTTGAGGTAAAAGGGAAGGGTCTTGTTTCGACTTACTTCTTGGAAAGCAGGCTAAAGCCGAGCAGCGAGTACGTGATGGATGGGTATGTGGAAGATCTTGCTGTTGTCGAGACCCGCCGGGGAAGACGCAGCCTCAATGATAGTGTCCGACGAAGGAGCACACTTCAAGGGGCGCTGCGAGCTGTGCAAACCCAAATGGAGGCATTCAATGATTCCAGACTTTGGGCGCACAACTCGAACGGTGCCAGCGTTTGCAATGCCGCGAGTATGGGATCGAGAGAGAGTAGCATGACGGATATTAGTACTGTTGGCCTGACGGCATAGCAACTGACGGCGCAGAAGGATATTCGTTCATTTCCACTCGGATTCTGTGTGCCCTTGTAACTTGTAACTACAAGCCACAGTTTCCACCAGCGCCCGGTTACTCATTCTGCGCTACTAGACTAGTAGCCTTCTCTGATCCCTGCTACCGGTATGCTTCTCAGACCACCACTTTCAGTTCTAGCTAGCTAGCTAGCTAGTAGTAGTAACACCACCTTCGAAACTCTGTTTTAACGGACCACCAATGACAACCTGAGTATAGAAGGCATTGAGTAAAGCAGCAAAGGATTGGCTCCTGATTTTGGCTGCGTGGTGATTTGCTGTTTTGTGTTGTAAAGATCCCGCGCCGATAGTCCTGGAAGACAATTTTGGACAGGTAGATGCGGTAAATAAAGGGTTAACGATATAATTACTGTGCAACTTTGAATACAAAAGAAATATTACCGCATCTATGCATACCAATTTCTAACGCCATCTTCCAGTGCCATCGCCAGTCGGCCTGAGGCCGAACCTTCCTGCTATAAGCTCAGGTAGCTGTGGTAAAGCTTTGAGATTAGAAAAATAAATGTAACCCTTTATTACCACAACTACCTTTCCACTGAATTGGCTAACCGGCAGCAGATTTCGACATCAAAAGCTGTTCAGTAGTTGAGCTGATCTCATTTTTGTTTTTACGACAGGCAGTAATATGAGCACTGTCGCCCGCCAACGGCGGAAGGTGCCGACGGAGGACGCCTCGGCAACGGGCAGTGCTGGTAAAGAGCAACTTGAATCGTTGAAAGTCAGTGTGAGCAATGTGGACAATGGACTCCTAGTAGAGCCACCTGAAGAAGACGTGGAAGAATTGGACAAAGGGTTAGACAAGGCTGCCGCGGGATCGCCTGATCGACGGTTGGAAAAAGGTCTTACTGAGGATATTTACAGTCTCATGTACACTTCACACAAATTCAGTGCCGCTTTCTTCTTTGCTTGGGCTGCTTTTGCCGTCCAATTCACAATTCTCATCTTAATTTGTAAGTTTCAGGTACCTGGTACCTGGTACCTGGTACCTGGTACTTTGACTCAAGTGCCTTGCCTTGACTTTCATTTGACTTCTTTTAAAGTTGATATGATTGACTTACAGTGTCCCCAAATTGACCGTTTTTCTTGCCTACTGTATAGTTGGGGATCTAGTAGACCTGAGTGATGATCCTCAGGTATCGGTAAGACGGCTGATGATCACACAATGTCTTTTATTTCTGCTAGAAGGATGTTCATGCTCATTTGATCCCTTTGAACTGAATCTCCTCCCTCCCGAATTACATGTACTTACCAGAGCAATGGTGAAACAAACCGTCTAAAAATCCCTGCTGGAATCGAGACCCATGTCCAAGTCGCCCAGTTCCTTAGTGTCATTCTGACCATCAACTTTACAGCTGCCGGAGGTGACATGTTCAAAGGATTGCAGCATCTGTTCAATGGTTTTGACCGCGATCTCGAGAGAAAACATCCAGGAGCAAATGGTAGGAATTGACTGTCACTCGTGTCAGGCATCAGTGTTGGGGATTCGCGATTAGGGATGAACCTGTACCTCTGTACTAGAATTTCATGCCAGTAGAAATACAACAGAGCCCACCCACTTTTTCAATAGTATCTCAATAGCAACAGTAAACTAGAAGAGAGCTTAGAGCAACTAACATACTATTGAAAAAGTACTGCTTATCGCCAACGAGGTAGCAGTAGTCGTATCGACAGCGAAGAGGAGTCTATCGAAGCAACGTTCGAACGACCGTACGAAGAGGAACGCCTACGGATCGATCGACCGCGACGCTAGGATCGCGACGAGTAGAAGACCGTCGAGGACGACGCTACCGTGCAAGGAAGACGATACGATACCGACCAAGAGAAGAAGCCTGTCGAAGGATCGACAGCAACAGCAACAGCGACGACGCAAGATCCGAGGACGGATCGCGACGACGCAACGAGTGAAGGATCCGAGGACGGATCCGAAGAGCATTCGGGCGACGGATCGTCGTGCCGAAGAGGGACTGCAGTCGACGACGCAGCAAGAGTTTCATCGGCAGATCCACAAGGATTGTCGATAGAGAGCCGACAGCATCCACCGGAACTGTCAGAGCCACAACAAGCGCGAAAGCCATAGTGCCAGCGCAGGGACCAAGGCGGGTACCCAACCAAGGAAACAACCAGCAAGGAAACGGGTCGGAACGGCAGCACCGCACGAAGTGTGAAGCAATAGCGCCAGACCTTGCAAGATCTTAGAATAGTTTAACACTCCCTGCCAGGATATAATTTGAAGTTTATCGCCCCATGCCATAAGACGAATAAGTAGTCGACGAGAACTTAAAATAAAGAGTAGTCAAATAAAGAAAGAGAATTGAAAAGTCCACCTACCGTAGCTAGACAATGAGCGGTAGAGGTAAAGGACGAGGTGGCCGAGGAGGCGGCAAAGCACGAGGGCATGGAAGAACCAACCATCGTCGAACCAAGCAGAAAGGTTCATGCAAACCCTCGACCAACATGTGTTTAACTTCGTACAACTGGATCTGGAACGGCAGACCAGATGATACGCACATGGAGAAGATCGTCCTCCAGTTGGACAAACGTGGGTGACGACATCAGCAATGAGCTACGCACCTGAAACAGACAGTGTTGGTACACCGGTGTACTCAGAGAGAGACCCGGAACAGGCTTGACGCGCGCGGAACGACGGAAAGAACAACCTTCGTCTCCAAACTGCAACCAAACAAGCCTACAGCTATGGAAAGAGATACCGAGTCAAGAACCCGACTCTCGGTAGCTTACGACACTAACGATAGAGAAAGAAAACTCGAAAATGAAATAGCAACCTCACTGCAGCCATAAAGATCCACCGGACGAGGAAATCGGGGGACTCGAGAGAGCAGAGTATGGAGGGCTGATGAAACCCACCTTACGAGGTTGGCAAAACTACAAGAAAATAGAGGCAAAGCATCAACTTGATCCTAGGGCAGTGCACCCGACTATTAAAGGACAAGATGAAGCAGAACACGGACTACGAAGACGTCCTGTTAAGATGCGACCCAATGGAGCTACGAAAAATGATCCAAGACGATCATGGCCCAGACCCATGATAATTTTGTGTACCACACATTATTCCAACTGGGAAAACAACTGTTGAATTTACCACAAGGGAGCCTTACCGCTCCGAATACCACGAGCAATTTACACACGAAAAAGGACATTGCAAAATCCGTGGTATTTCCAAGCTACACGAGCAGCCCTGCTGCATACGGCCAACCTACTCCACCCAGCACAGAATACGCTGACCTGGAGTCGAAGACCAGAGAATAGTCTCGGATACGCAGAGGAACGGTAACTATAGTTATATCTTCTTAACAATAGTTCAGCCGAAAATACCAGCTTAAACAGAACCTGAGGACGACTTTGCCAAAGGCACTTATAACTATCCCACACGTTACATGAGGTATTACACCTTTTGGACAAACACCAAGAGTAACACCCCAGACAGTCCACTTCCCACGGAAGCTCCTTTGCTCAGACAGCACAAGGCGGAGAGGACGGGGTGGTGGCAGAGGAAAAGCCGCGGAAACGCGAGCTATGATAAAGAATACTGGAAGGAGAAAGAATGCTTTTCCTGCCACGATAAAGGACATCCAGCTCGCACTGTCCTGACAAAGAAATAAAGAAAAGATAAAGAAAAGATAAAGAAAAGAGACGACGACAAGTCTAGGTCGAGCAAGCGTAGAAGTCAAGCACGTCAAGCAAGAAGAGCTCAGTAGCGTTCAAAGGAAAACCCTAGCTACTATCAGCAAACTGAAGATAAAATGACGACAGATTGACAAACCTGGGAAGAACGGATGATGCCGCTCTGCATCACGCAGTCAGATGAAGAGAAAGTCGAAAAAGGTTTCGTTACGTTCGACGTACCGCTGTTCGCGGACGGAACGAAGACGGAACCGAAGAAACCGACTAAGCAAGGCATAGTCGCCCACACAAAAGGATTGGACGACATAGATATGAGAGAGGATCCAGCTACTGGACAACCAGTCCACGTTGGATTTATTCTGTATAAAGACATGGTTACCGACATCAGGAAAGCCGATCGTCCAATTACAGTGAAGAGTACCGGAGGCAAGTGAAGGTCCAGCATACAGCCAAGTTAGCTGGCCACAAACAGAGAGTATGGTTCGATGAAAGAGGAATCACGAAAATCTTATCTGTTAAGAATGTCCCAAGAATTGCAACATCGTTTATGACTGTCCGAAAGGAACATACACAGTCATTAGACCAGCCTACCGGACGTAGTATACGAAAATGAACAGTGAAGGATTACACGTTCATGAACCTAGGAAAAAAGGGAAGCACTTGTGAATACTGTCGCCGAAATAAGGAAGGCTTCAGCAAACGACAAGTTAAAGCCGCATCAAGGGCGAAGCTGCTTACAAGCAACTCGTCTATCATCGATAAAGATTTCCGATGGGGATTATGAGCAATCAAATCGAAATTGCCCAGTGACCGTTAAGACATCGACACGGCACAAGCCATATGGGGCAAGGATATTGATTGCGTTGAAAGGCAAGACCATCGTACGAAACCGAACGCAGTGGCAGGCAATGCAATGAAAGTGCCGAGAGACTTTTTGCAATTACACAAGGATGTGTTCCTAACGATGGACATTTTCTTTGTGGCAGGAATTCGTTCCTGTTAACGCTAAGCCGTAAAATCGATTTTACACATCTAGACACCTGCCCAAAGGAAGCTAGAAACCATCCTAGACGCAGTCCAGGAGGTCTATCGATTCTAAAAGGCTCGTGGTTTTAAAACACGACCATTCATGTGGACAATGAGTTTGACCTCTGTCCAACACAATCATGGCAATGCCGGGTGGACCGGTAGTAACGTTGCCAGTGCCTAACGAGCACGTACCCGAGATCGAACGTAGAATCCGGGTAGCAAGAAAGGACACGAGCTGTCCGGCATAGCCTAACGTTTACACGCATGCAAATATTAACCGTCAACTTGGTGTTAAAGTCGTCAAACAGTTGACGTACTTTCCAAGTAAGCGGGGGTCAGCGAGACAAGAGCCCCCGTATGATAATGATGGGAGAGTCCCTGGACTATAAAAAGCACCTGAGCCTGCAGTTCGGAGACTACTGCCAGGTGCAGAAGAACTCGCCCCGTAACGCATGGTAGGACGCACAAAGGCGGCCATCTGTATGGGAACGAGCGGAAATAAGCAAGGAGGCTACAAATTTATGAGCCTCCGCTCGGCAAGAAAATTACTCGGCATTCATGGACAAGATCCCAATGCCCGACACAGTGATAGCTAGAGTCAATCTATTAGGAAAAATCAGCCAAACTACTCTTTTTACTGATCGAAAAATAGACCCATTGGTGATGTCAGATCACAGGAGGGAAGGGGAGAAAGCAATGACGCCCCCACTACCAATGATCCAAACGATGAGGACCTGGACGCGGATGCTGAAACCATGACGAAATGGAAGATGACCCGACGATCCCCAGGACAACGTCAACGACGACGACGACGAATCGATAGTCAACGAAACGAATGTGAAATCGGCGTTGAACCGAAAATCGAAACGGAACCGGTTACACACCTATCGTCGAAACGGTAGAGGAACCGGAACCAACTACGGACAACAGCCCCTGGAACAGATCCAGGAGTGGGCGTTGAAACCCAAGCGGCACCTGAGCAGACGCCAGGAGTGCGCAGGTCAGTAGAGTGAGGACACAAGCAAAGGAACGTATATTCCCAGCTTTGAGGAAAGAAGTATGAGACGCCAAACGTCCATACGACTGAACGTGTCTTGCAACCAGATGCACACATGTTCTACACACAGGTAGAAGAAGAACTGATGTGGTAGCAGCCATCATGACACAAGTTGTCATTGAAGGCTGGACTCAAGGAGTGGAAGGACAAAGCGCACGATGCAGCCTTTGCCGAGATGAAACAATTACATCTCAGGGATACCTTCCGTCCGAAGAAAATGGAAGAACTCAGCGATATGGAACGCAAGAGTATCCTAGAGTCACACCTTTCCTAAAGTTGAAAAGGAACGGGAAGATCAAGGCCGAGCGGTTGCAGGAGGCAACAAACAGCGTGACTTCATCTCCAAGGAAGACGCAGCTCGCCAACAGTGTCGACAGAAGCAGTGCTACTATCCTGCATAATCGACGCTGAAGAGGAAAGGGATGTGGCAGTAATTGACATCCCGAACGCTTCATCCAGACAAGAGTCGAGGATGAAAAAGATATGGTAACATTAGAGTAAGAGGAGTAACTAGTAGACATGCTGTGTGAAATAGCCCCAGATTCTACAAACCGTTCGTAAAACGGATAAGAAAGGCAACAAGCAGTTGCTACTGCAATGCTTGAATGCCATCTCGGCACATGGTAGCTAGCTACTATACTACCGCAAGTTCCGGAAGACGATGGTTCGGAACGGATTTAAGATTAATCCTTACGACCCTGTGTAGCCAACAGAATGGTGCACGGCAAGAACAAACAGTCTGCTGGCATGTAGACGACGTAAGCTTAGCCACAAGGACTCGAAGGTTAACGACCAGCTGATCCAAGTGCTTCGTGATGAATACGAAAGCATATTCGAGGACGGCACTGGAGAAATGACGGTGAGCCGAGGAAAGGTCCACACGTATCTGGCATGACCATAGACTTCACAGACGAAAGGTCAATGCAACGTATCAATGTACAAGTACGTTGATGAAATCCTGGAAGCCTTCGAAAGGCATCGCCAAGGAAGGGGGCACGAAAATAGAAGTAGTGCAGCCCCGAAGACCTATTCACAGTAGACAATCCTGCAAGAAGCTCCAACGAGCAAGGCAGACACCTTTCAAAGCCTGGTGGCTAAGGTGTTATTCGCTACGAAGAGAGCCCGACCAGACACAGGTACGGCGATATCGTTCCTTACGATAGAGTCAAGGAACCAGAAGGACAGATTGGGATAAACTAGCCACCTCATGCAGTACATAGACGTACTAGAAAACTACCATTATTCTCAAAGCCGACGGAAGTGGCATATTGAATGGTATGTTGATGGTTCTTTCGGAGTCCATCCAAACATGAGGGGTCACACCGGAGGTGGTTTGCCATGGGCACCGGTTACCATTATCGACTTCACGAAAAAGAAGTTGAACACAGAAGCTCAACTGAGAGTGAACTCGTAGCAGTGATGACCTGATGCCATCATCCTTGGACGAGGCAGTTCTTCGGGAGCAAGGCTATGTAGTTAAAGAACTATAGTCTATCAGGACAACAAGAGTGCCATTCTTCTAGAGAAGAACGGCAAAGCTTCTAGTAGTAAACGAACGAAGCACATCACATTAGGTACTTCTTTGTCAGCGACAGAGTCGCAAAGAAGGAGATCAGTGTGGACTGGTGTCCAACTGATGACATGGTTGCGGACTTCTGGACGAAGCCGAACCAAGGTCGACTGTTCAAACAGAACGTGGACAAGTTGATGGGTGTTGTGGAACACTCAGAGCCAGGGCACTCATAGGGAGGGTCACGGCCGGACAAGAAGGTCCGTTCAAAGAAGGAGCGCTAAGCGCAGTAAGTAAGTAAGCATGGTCGACGACTAGGACAAGCTCGACGACCACAGGAGTGTGTTGGGGATTCGCGATTAGGGATTGAACCTGTACCTCTGTACTAGAATTTCATGCCAGTAGAAATACCATGAAATACAGAGCCCACCCACTTTTTCAATAGTATCTCAATAGCAACAGTAAACTAGAAGAGAGCTTAGAGCAACTAACAATCAGTGCATAACTTTCGTACTACTGCGTCTCATCTCATGCAAATATATATCCGTGCTTGTTTTGTTCGTGCAATCCAGCCCCAAAATGGTTTGTGGCGGGGGTTCTGCAGGTCCTCGTTGGTGTTCTTATGGTCGTCAACTTGTTCATTTTGGCAATGCAGAGCTCAGGTGTAATTGGCTTGTGCCTCAACTTTGCAGCACTCCATTTTGTACAAGAGATCGACGATGTTGCATTCACTGTTGCGTCAATGGGGTTGCTCGGTTTGACAGTTCAGAAAGAAGTACAATGTACGTGTGTGTGTGTCAGATTGGATTGGCAGGCAGGAGCATCCGAGAGCCTACACGTAGCTTCTCACTTTTAAAGGTTTCTTGTCAATTCATATAACAGGTGTTGGAGATATCGTAATATCCGCTGAAGTGAGGAGCCGCACACTATGGATGCGTAGAATCGTGTGGATTGTCCTAGTGGTTGGCCTCTATTCATGTTGGTTCGTCATTGCAAGCTGGCAATGGTCTGGCAAGTTTGTATGCGATGTTGTCTTGGTGCAGTTTGGAGATGCCTACGATGCAGACCTTGCGTTCTTTTCCGGGCCATTCCGAACCAATGGAACGCAGAACAGCAGAGACAAGTATGTTGATGAAAGTGGGCTTTTAAAACTGCGTTATTCGAGCACCGTCAAGGTATCGTGAGATTTCAATTGTACCATTTTATCAAGAAGTGACTGAGCCAAGTAAGTTTACTCACAAAACTGCATGCTGAATCCCTACAATACAACACAACACAACACAGGCTTGGGTTTTTGAAGCAAACAACAATGAAAACGAAATTGTGATCAAGTCTTCCGAGACAACCTCATTTGATGTGACCAGTGTGGCCGATCAGACTTGGTACCACAACACAACAGCCGGTTTTGTACCAGTAGACTGGCTTGCTATGAGATGTAACGAATGCAGCGATGACCGATGCCCCCCCTGACCGCGGAACTTGCAATGACAAACATGATTGTGTCTGTTTTGATGAGTTCATTGGCGACAACTGCGAATCATCTACTCCTACCTGTGGTTGGTATGGTATTGACTTTCGTACCAGGGGAACTCTGGCAAACATCCCAGGTGGATCCTTCTTCTTTGACAATGAATTCTCGGGTATCAACTCGACAAGAATCTGCGGGAGGTTCCTTTATCTGCCGTACAATTTTGACGGAGACGATCGCGACACGAGACTCCGAACCTTTATGTTCTTTACTGGGAGGTAGGTCATCTTGTGATCTAGCTGATCAACCGACATGGAACCATTTGCCTGATTCATTACTCTCATGCACGCAGACGATGGGTCATCATGGGGGCCCCATACGAGGCAGAGTTGCCTTATTTGAGTGAATTCTATGATTTCATTGACACATCGCGTGTTTTGGAACTCCCACCTATTGAAGGACTCAGATTGCTGGCCGATAACAGAATCTTCAGGCCACTCTATTTCAGTTCCCCAGTTGACTTGGGCACTCCCTCTTATGGCTTTGAACCGTCCACTGTCACCTGGGTCTTGGCCAGAAAGCACAAAAAGGCTCATCAGTCTCCTTTCTTTGGGTACTGGCCAGATGATGCCACCAAGCTTGATGTTCAACTGCAATGTTCAGAATGCAGCAACAAAACAGAAGATGGAAAGGCCACCTGTCAAAATGATGGCAGTTGTGACGAACATGGGTATTGCAAATGCCTACCCTTCTACGCGTAAGTTGTGTTCATGGAGTCCATCCATCAACGATTCGTTGCTGCTCTCATCTTATTGATTTGCCTGTTCCTGTACGTTCGAAAGGGGATTACAATGTGAATATGTGTACGCGTAAGTTGTGTTCATAGAGTCCATCCATCAACTATTCGTTGCTGCTCTCATCTTATTGATGCGCCTGTTCCTGTACGTTCGAAACAGTTGCAATGAACTTGGCTGCTTCAATGGAGGCACATGTAACGAAATCACGGGCCATTGCCAGGTAAGCGATGAATGAATGATGTGTATGGGTTATCTGAGACAGGCTGAAAAGTCTCATGAATTGCTTGCTGTGATGTTTAGAAGTGTCGCCGTGGCGCCCATGGCAACCTGTGCCAGTTTCCCCTGCCTGCCAAAGTGAAGGAAAATCCCTACTTTTGCTCGACGACTTATGATTCGTTGAGCAGTTGTCGTAATGGTCAAAAGTGTGACCCATTTGAATTGAAATGTGAATGTGAGCCACCATTCTATGGAGAATTCTGTCAAAACTCAACTCAGGCTGATTGTTTTTTGGCGGCTGATGACACGTTCGATGACTTTGTGGATCCCTGTCGCAACGGTGGTTACTGTGATCAGTCTCTTTTTCATCCCATATGCTTGTGTCCAGAAGGCTTCTCAGGTGACTTCTGTGAGGTACCAGTCCCAGTAACAAACAGCTCTGGAAAGCAGATTGGATGATGGAAATAGTATAGTTTTCCTCAGCCTTGTGATAAAAAGTCGTAGCCAAGACCTTGCTCCTCGTTTGATTAGCCGACACCATGATAGAATTCAATCTTGACCTGTGTCCCAGTAGGTTACGTTGGAGCAACTGTGCGTGCTCAAATCATTGGATGGCAAGTGACCGGTCACAAAGTTTCACCTCGGCCATGCCGTCTTCAGAAAAATGACACTCTGACAACAAAAGGAAAATAATGAAACGGCGCGACAGCAAGCTAGCTAGCAACCGAGCAAAACTTTGAAGCTGCCCCATGACAAGTCGCGATTTGTTCATTTGAGGGTTCTATTAGTTGGGAGATCAGGCAAAAACAGGGGAAGGGTGCAAGTTCTTGGACGGGATCTGCTGGGTGCATGGTTGCAAGTTCCGGAAACCTGTCTTCTGGTTACGCTGACTTGACTAGAGTCTAAGAGAACTGAACAAGAGTTCATTGCTAGCTAGCGAGCAGTGATAGCCAGACGGGATAAAGGGCTCACTCCCTGTTGCTACTGGTACTCGTACCTGTCCCACCCACCGCACACCTCTGAAGCAACCACCAAGAGTGAGCTTTGACACAGCTCCAGTCACGCTCGTCATTTAATGAGTCGCGAGAGAGACGGGATAAAAGTATCTCCAATGACAATCCTCAGTTTTGTCACTGTCTTGTGTGTTGTTATGAGCTTTAGCAGTGAAACAACAGCAGCACTTGAGAATACGCATCTTCGATTTGCTGTCATACCCAAATGGCAAGACAATCCTTATTTCCAAACCGTTGGTGATGGCTGCAAACGAAAAGCAGCACGCCTGACACAAAAGTTGTCCCAGCAAAAAAAGAATGTGACCATTGAGTGTGTCTTTGTGGGCCCCACTTCAGAGGACCCCAATGATGTCGCTTCTCAGGAAAACATTGTCCAAAAAATGGCTTCTAGTGGTGACATTCATGGCATTGCCATTTCTGTCATTGACGAACGATCCATCGTGTTTGCATTGGAAGAAGCAAGAGCAAAAGGCATTCCTGTCATTACCTTTGACTCGGATATTTCCAAAGGCGGCAGAGACTACTTCGTAGGGACCAACAATTCTGTGTTTGGCAAATGGATGGCCCGTGCAGCGACCCAGTTGAAACCGGAAGGAGGGACTTTTGGTGTCTTGATATCAGGCCACTCTCCCAATATGATGGAGCGTTACAATGGGATTGTCAAAGAGCTAGAGGCCAGAAAGACAAAAACGCATCAGTGGCAAGAAATTCCAGGGAGCCCCCGAAATGCCAACGGCGACGTCAATACTGCCATTGACCAGTTGGAGAGAATGGCCAAAGAAAAACCAACCGTGATTGTATCAGCCATGGGACTGCCCATGAGAATTGTAGTGGATCAAACCCAAGACCCCCCAGTTTCCTACTCTCCCTGGACAACGTTTGTGGACAAATATCACGACGCAAATATTGCATTCGTGTGCGGGGATGCTATGCCCCATCAATTCGACCTCTTCAACGCAAACTTTGTTCAAGCCCTTGTGGGACAGGACCCTTCTGCGCAGGGAGAAAAAAGCATTGAGATTCTTTACGAAATGGTCAGGGATCCAACCCAGAATCTGAGCAGTAATGCAGCAATGGTAATTACAACTGATGTAATGGGGTATCATGTGAGGGTTCCAACCCGACTACCCGAGAGAGAACTTGACCACAATTTGCTGGGAGGGTTGGCATTCGTTGGGTACTGCCTATGCGCAGTTGTTACGGCCACGGCCCTCTCATTTATTACATGGGTCCATGTTCATCGAAACGTTCGAGTTGTGCGTGTCAGTCAGCCAAGATTTCTGATTATGATTGCTTCGGGAGTCTTGATCATGAGCCTTGCACTGATACCTTTCTCCATGGACGACGGGGGAGGCGAAAAGTTCAACTGCTTCGAAATTCGTGATGACGGGGACCCTCCTGTCGATGTCCGGTGTGAGGTGATTTGCATGAGTCCGGTGTGGTTGGTTTGTTTGGGGTTCACGACGTGCTTCAGCGCTCTTTACGCCAAGACGCATAGGATAAACAAGGTCTTCAAGTCACAATCTGCATTCTCGCGCGTGAAGGTGTCGGAAACGGATGTCATGGGGCCGTTTGCTGTCCTCACCCTGTTGAATATAGTAATACTGCTCTGTTGGACGTTTGTGGACCCATTGACGTATCTTCGAGAACCTGACTCCGAGACTGACGGGTGGCATCGTGTTGTTTCGACACGAGGAAGATGCAAGAGTTCTCACATCGAATACTTCCTTGTACCTCTGGCATGTGTCAACTTGGGTGTTCTGCTGATGGCGAACTGGCAAGCATATGAAGCAAGAGACATTGAAGGTAAAAAATTTATGGCTTTCGATTTCGTGTGTGCGATGTCGTGGTGGCTCACTTGTATTTTCTCAGCCGAATTTGCGGAGGCAAAGTATATAGGGATTACGATGGCGAGCATGTTGCAAGCCTTGATCAGCGGAATACCAGTCATGTTCATTGTCTACGATTTGCCGCAAGCCTTTTATATGGTCTCCACGCTGTTGCTCTTTGTCATCTCGATGGTTATCCTCATGGTCATATTCTTCCCAAAGGTTCTCTTTACACGTGAGTTTCTGTCAATGTCTGTGGGCGATCAGCGGGCATTCATCGCCCAGGCGATTCGACGGGCTAGCGTGCGAATGATGGACAACTCAAGTGGTACCGGTACGGGATCTGTTCGAAGAATGTCGTCCGCCGGCGGAGACAGACCTGACAGACCCAACTGGTGGGTACCTAATAGCACCCTGACATCACCGTTCCAGCAGACGCCTGCAAGGGAATCCGAGAGTGTCGATTCTTTTGCCGAGGAGGACGATAACCAGAGCGAGGAGTTAGAACTGCGGCAGCAAGCTGCCACCGTTGGTACCGGTCGCGGTGACGGGATGTTGGTTTTCCGGAGAAGTACCGCCTCTCGAACTTCTTCTGTTGTAGACATTCACATTGCCTCTTTGATCGAGTCAATCAAGGAAGCCGAGATTATGCGCAACAGCGGCATGGCCGTGCAGTCGGTTGGGGTACAATCTTCTGCTGGATCTTCTTCGTTGCTTCCACCATGCTCAGAAGAAGAGGAGGATGATAACGCAGCACACTCCTCCAACATATTCGACAATATGCCTAAAGATCCTGATAAACCCTAGCGAGAGCGCCATCGATGGCCTCCCGAAAAGTTCTGACAGTTGAATCGGCTTTAGCCAGAATTCAGCTTGTCTGGCAAAGAAATGAAGAAGGCAGAGCGAATGGAGAGTCCCCGTGAGTCATTGCACCGCCTACGTTTTTAAGGAATACAGCCCCAACGCGATCGCAGCGCTCCGCCAAAACAAGGTCTCGGCATCAAGCAAAGGTCTCGGTCGGCAACCGTATGTACCGAGACTGGCAGATTCCGTTCGAGCCGAAGAACGTTTCGCCGGGGAGCTTGTTCCAATCTAATAGATCGATTGCGAAAAGATAATCTAGGCCAGGCCAGGACGAGCCAAAGCACGGCATTTGGTTGGGAACGTTACGTTTTGTTCCACCGAGTCTGAGTGCCAAAACCATAGCCAGGAATCAATCATTAAATACCACCTGACCTGAGCAATAGACTGGGAACAGGGCAATCCTTCAGAGGTATAGTGAGCCGTGAATGGAAGATACCGTCCCTGACAACGCAGCCTACTCCAAAACTCCCTCTCCTTCTTCAATTGCAACCTGCGCTGAAATCACTCCACAAACGAACAGATCCCGCGGCAAGCCCTAGCTTCACGTAAAATCTTCTACTTAGCTGAGCTTCCATCCTTTGTTTGTTATGACTCTATCACCAACGTTTGATCTCGATTTATCTGCCCTGCAGAGATGTCAAGTGGAATCAAGGTCCTGCAGCCCATTAGACAACGTATCCAGCGCCAGAATGGGCGTGCATGGACGACACAACGGTAGAAGCAACAGGACGACCATGAGCCATGCGTTGGGGGTAAAGTCGTAAGAAGGAAACGGGAGTGGAGTACCACGGTATCGGAGGATGATGCGCAAGGACACGGATCCAGGCTCTTCATTGAGTAAGCACGTTGTGCCACCTGGGTGGCACACCAGTCGGCTTCCAACATCGCAAAGATCGCCCGCCACAGGGCAATCTCCACAATGCACCGTACACCAACGGACTTGCTTCTTGTAGGTTAGATGACTATGAAGGAACTGAATCGAGCATAACCCCATTGGGTTCCACCTGTGATCCTGGCTCGGAAGTCATATCTTCCGTCCTCATTTGGTTTCCAAATGAACTGTTTGTCTGGGTTTGGATCTTGAGAATGTTTCAAGGCACAACACAAATTCATGCAATTCATGCTGGTCACCTTGACTCGGTTTACTTCCATCTCGATGCCCCCGAAAACTTCGTCCTGTGCAAAATCCATCACAATCTTGCGCATGTCACCACCAGAACACTTTCCCCAGTCACCTACGAGTACAGCAGCATCTCAGCAAGAGTAACAGCAAAGAGTCACCAGCATCACAATAATTTCAAAGCAAACTTACACTTTGACAGACAGAAGAAGACCCAGCCCTTGCTGTTCTTTCCATCAAACTCACTGTAGTACTCTTGGCATGACGGATTCGGAAATCTGACTGATCTCCAGGACTCCAAGCTTGTGACTAAAAAATAGTCCTTGAAATCCACATTGAGCTGCTCTGGGCAGACCTGATGTTCACTGTCCTTCATGCCAATGATCATCCTGTCATCGCTTTCACTACGATTGCCTTTGTAGGAAGCTGGTTGTCGCCCGGAATTTTTATTCGGGTTTTCAGTGCTTTCAATGACTGTGTGGAGCACACCAAACTCGTAGTTTTGGTCATGAGCATTGCCAATCCTATCAAAGTTCTCAGTCAGGAGTCCCTTGTACCTGATTTCTGCTGGAAGCATTGCTGTGTGGCAGAAAGAAGGGTCTTTGATGAGCATTTCGAGGGACATACTCTTCATTGCTTCTTTGTTCTTCTCCCGGAACTCTTTCTCTCCATTCCACAGCATTGAATTAAAGTGATTCAAGACATTTTCCGGAACTGGACTCTTGAAGATATTCTCATAGTCCGCCTGCTCGGCAGCATCCAGTTCTTGCAACTGCAATTGGATACGATTGTGTCTTTCCTCGAGAGTCTCCTTCTCATTGGGTTCTAACTTGATGAGTTCTTGAAGACTCTCAGTGATGATCTGAAGTATTGTGAACGCCATCATGTGACCAGCCAATGCATGATACCTCCAGCCTAGGAGATACGGTACAGGAAAAATCGATATATGAGCGGCATGCCACGATCGTGATGCAGTTGACGTGTGGGTGAGATGCAACAATTTCCTTGACTAACTAACCTGGATGCCATGTATTTTTTCCAGCTCTTTCCTCGCACATGGTTACATTCCACTTATTGTCGGCACATCCAGGCTCTCCCCCTTCAATGTCAGTGCCACATCTGAAGTATTGTGCAAAAGGTGCAACGGCTGAAATCTGTGCATCAGTCATTCCAAACATGTCTGGGAACGCTGGTTTGACTACTTTGTTTTCATAGTCCTGATCAAACCCCAACGCTGTCATACCCACTATTGCACGAACAAAGAGAGACTGTTAGAGAGTATCGATTGTGATGTGGGAGACATGGCCATTTCAATCCATGCCTGCACTTGGGAAATATTCATGATGATCGATTGAATGACAACTTACAATGTTGCATAGTCTGTAGCACTTCCATGTTGTCTTTGAGGTGATGTAGGGAAAGGAGAGAGGGTCTGTGTCGAATGTTTCCTGGCTGTGAGCGACTATCCTCCACGAGAGCCAATCTCGCAGCGCGATATGCATATAGAAACATTTTGTAGTAGTGCCGTCCATCCGTCATCCCATAGTCCCAGGAGATGGAGTCTACATCCTTTCCAAAAATGGAATTGAAGCACAGGGCTACCTCCTTTTACATAAGCAGAAAAACGACATAGAACTGAGTGAGTCGCGTCACATGAATGCACTCAAATGACAATCCATTGTCTCTGTTTTCACTCGTCAAAACATGTACGACACGACACACACCTCGGCCGACTCTGTACCGCCCATGGCATAGTTTTTCACCTGCCAATCGAGCCCAATTTCCTTGAGAATAGGTTGCAAGTCTCGTCCCAGATTGGCCGTGTAGGATTCTCTGTAGAAATTCCCGTGTGCTGCAGAAGCACTGTGGCCACCATTGACCCAGAGGAATCTGGAATAGGTACCGGGTGGCAACTTTGTATTGTCGTTGCTTTGGCTGGATTGTTGTTCTTGTTGACACTGCTCCTGGCAATATTGTTTGGGATTAAGTCGTTCCTGTGCGATCCCTAGCTGCACTTGCAGTAGTTTGATTTGGTATTTTCGAATCATGCGTTTCCATCCTTGTCCTTTGGTGTCAGTGGGTGTTTTGCGACCTGGCAATTCGACATCGAATGGATCTCTGAATATTCTTTGATTGCCGACATGTTTGAGAGGAAGATTGGTGGTTGGATCTAGCACATGTTCTTCTGGTTCAAAAATATTCTGGTAGTAGTCTCCATAGTCCTGCTTCAGTGTGGTGTCAATCCAATTTCTCCAACCCTTTGCTACCCTTGTGAGCATGTTTTGGGCCATGGTGAGATCTTCACCATCAAATTGTGACTTTTTGGGGTTGGGCACCTTTTTACACTGCTGTTTGCATCCCTTGCCATCTATACTGGTATCTAAATCTATATCTTGTTCTGGTTTGCTTCCCTTGTAAATCTTGATCTGAACATCTCCCGTGGTGTCATCCCATTCAATGGAATCCCAGAAATAGAGGACCAAAATTCCCACCAAGATGAAAAGGACCAACTGCTTCACTCGGCCAGCAATGCCAGAGTCTGTGCTGACAATGGTACTGTTAGTGGTACTGGCAGTATCATTGGGACCTGCGGGATTACCACTTGTACCTGTACCACTTGTACTTGCTGGATCTTCAGAGGACACTAGAGCAGCCTTTTCTTCTTCTGTTGCCTTGGCAGCTGCTTTCTGCTTTTTCAGCTTCTTCTTTGCTTTCGCCAAACGGACCATCTTGTAGAAAAAGTAAGATTGTCTTGACTGTATATCCCAATTGTCTTCTCTGAAAAAGCTAGATTGGGTATAAGAGAATGGGTATCTTTAGAGGATACCGTAAAGAAAAACACAGGCAGTATACCCACGCCAAGAGTAAGTCCTTCTGTCTTGTAGAGGACCCTCTGACCTAAGGTGGTAGCTCTCTAGCCAGCAAAAAGGATATACCTAAATAAGTCAGTGCTGGACCTAACAGAGCTAGCTAGCTTGGGGTTGTGAGAAAGATCGCAGCATCGAGCGAGATTTGCCGTAAGCGAGGATGTTGTTCAATCACAGGTCACGAAGGGTTTCCTCGGTCGTCCTCCACGATGCATTGAAAATACGACGCAGCAATGTGGCTGGCGGTGCCACCGCAACCAGAACATGCTACTGTATACTAGCCCCTTCCAGCTGTAACGTAGCACAGCTAGAGAAATGCAGCAATTATTATATTATCGTTTGCCCACTCAGTGTCGCCTCTCACTACTGCAGCGTACGGATATCTACCGTACTTCCGAGGCAAGCTGTGGCGGTGCGCTGCAATAGCGGGTCGATGCCGTGGATCCGTGGATCGACGAGTGAGTCACTTTTCTGGGCTAATGTCGGTACGAAAGAGACTCCTCGACCCTTGAACCTGATGCCGAAGCGTCAATCTCGATCATTCTAATCCGTCTTGTGTGGTCGTACCGGTACTGTAGATCAGGCTGTCAGTGTCGAATCGACTACTAGCTAGCACATCAATTATCACGTAGCTTTGTCTTCGAGTTACGGAAGCCAACTTCTGATACAAAATTCAAACATAGACTACATACATTGGATGATATATTATTATAGTACACTGAGATAGCTACGGTGCAGAGAGACAAGCCATAGCGCATAGCAAAATGTACACCAGGGCTGCAGAAAATTTGTACACACGTCTCGAGACGATGGAATCGAATCGGTCGATCGGGGTCGATCGAGCTTGTTTTTGAACACTTTGGCGGACTGTTCGTTGGTGAATTGGTGCTTTCCGACAACGCCGACGCGGGCGACTGCAATGTTGGGGGCACCCATGAGACCGTATGTGAACACGGTATCATCACTCTGATTTTTTGGTTTCTATTCCTCGATCGTTCACGCTGATTTTCATTCGAGGAATACAGAGGACCCACATACGGTACCCATTTGGGATTGTTTGCGACGAAGAACGCCTTATACGGTAGCTAGCTAGGACACATCGTCCCATTCCGATCGTCTCATGGTTCTTCGAGTATGCTGTCGTCGGACTTGTTGGAGATCTCGTTGCATTCGTCGTGTGGTCTGTCGCCTGGACCGTTGTCGTTGAAAGGTTTGAAATCGCTGTGTTTGTTGTCGTGTCAACTGCCCAAAACGTTGTGTTTGTTGTCGTGTCAATTGTCCCAAACGTTGTGTCTGTTGTCGTTGGAACTGTACAGCTCGAGTGGGCAACTGCTGCAGCGTAAGTGAGGATCGTCGCATGACGGTTTCGGCCTGTTTGATGGCTTCATCGGCTCTCTCTCGGAGCCGCTGTGCTTCTTCCTTGGCTAGTTGTAGCATTTGCTCTTTTCGATCTTTGATGTAGTTTTTGACCATTTTGGATGTTCTGGGGTACCACATGATCCAGAATCCCAGTGCAGCTTTTCTGGAGTAGTCATTTTTGGTATCCAAGAACTGTACAATTTGTTCCGTGGTGTAGTACCACCAACTGAGAGAGAATTTTTTGAATTCTCGAATGATGTGATGGTGAAGCAGAAAGAGTTTCCAATTCTGAAGGATGCATCCAGTTTCATATAGAAACAGGATGAATGCTCCGTAGAAGAATATCTTGTAGCCTGTGAGTGCTAGCAAAAGGGAAGATCCAATGAGAATGGATTGTTTGGAAGTCCAGAAAGTGTATTCCACTTGAACTTGTTGTACATCCACTTGTTGAATACCAACTTGAATATCTTGTTGCATGGCATGGTCATAGAAATTGTGTGGACGATAATCCAACTGACGTAACCGTCTACGTTGCTTCTCAATTTCTTTCTGTGGCTTCTGCTTCTCAATCAGATGGGCTTTCTGGAAGCTGGATCCCAATTTGTTCACTGTCACCTTCGCCTTGGTCTTGCTACCATTCATACTATGCATACATGTATCAGTCAGTTTGTCATCTTTCTTCAGTTTGTCAACTTTCTTCAGTTTGCCATTTTTCTTCAGTTTTACTTTTTCTCTAGAAATCAGAACTTCTTTGTTGATGCAGTTTCTTCTCTTGTGGGTCTTGTCATCATTGCCTGATGCAGATGCTGATGCTGACATGCTTGCCTTGCTTTTTTATGGACTTGACTTGCTTGTCCAGAGAATTCAGGTACCTTCTTCTTAAGATTATACCTTTCTTTCTTCTCTTCTCATCCAGATCAGATCAGTACATTCCATTCCAACAATCACTATCAAGTTAGCTAGTATACCAGTACTGTCAATAGGACACCCTCATGCAGCCATGGTCACCATCCACTCCATCAAATAAAATGCAAGCCAAGCTCATGTAATAAGAGTGGCCATCGGTTGTGGTACCATGCAGCATGCAGTATTCTCACTTGCTAAAGTGTCAAAACCTTTCTCGTTCACTCTATTTTCGCTGGATCAATTGTTGGCATATGTGACGCGACCAAACGCAATCGTACTTTGGGTGAAGCTACTAAGTAGAGTTCCATTTGGTAGACTCCAATAAATCCATAATGAAGAAAGCGTGACAACTATTCATTCATGTGACCACCAAGATCCTGACGTATACTTCCAAGCCAACCACCCGAGCTATTTTACGGTCGGAACTAGCTACCGGTAGCTAGACGATGAAGCTCTCCGCGCCATAGCACCTTGGCCACACTGCTCCTTCATCAGCTCCGTACTAGTATCCCTTCGTTTTGGTGGCAAATCATATGATCCACCTATCGGCACCGTACCTCTCCTAGCTACATGTAGTAGCTACATGTAGCATCATTCGAAAAGCATTGGTGAACAGAACTTTGGTCAGTGATTCTGGAAGGATTCAATTTTGAATAGTTTTGAGTATTTAAAAACGAGCCTTGGCCATCAACACCGCTTCCAGTAGATGATCCTTGTAAATTGCCTACTAAAAAGTCGTAGGTGGGCGCTGGAAATCGGTTGTCCAGGGCGGCAAATAACGCGGAAGATAAGGTAACCGTGTCCATGGTGGATGGCAAGGAGTGACATCTGATCAGTCATGACTAGACTACCGAGGTAAGACCCTTTGGTTGCTCTGAGGTGTCTGCATCAACTTTGGAGATGCCTGGGTTGGCGGGGCTTGATTAGATCATTCGATACAGAAATCTGGTGCAAATGGAACGAACCGGTCGAGTCAATCATTGCTGCTCAAAGCCAATACCAAGTGCATCATCATGACGTGTCCTCTTTGTGGGACTAACACTCTGTGAGGTGATACCGGTAGCGATGACGTGGAGATTGAGTAAGAAGCTGCGTGGCGTTGGGTCTTTGATTGGATGAAGAAAGGACCTTTAACAAACTGGTTTACTTTTCTTGTTTCACAACTAGGTGCACTTCATCTGGATTGTAAGTCTTTCCTGTACAGCCACACGGGAAGAATGTCACACCACGCAATTCGAGATTCCGTATACGTCATCTGACTCAGCATTGGTCCCACCAACCCCACAGCGATGTTTTTGGTTTTTTGGGTGGGTATCTTTTGGATCTGATCAGTTTTCTCACAAATATTCATCTCATCTCCACCCATCAAAGGTTGCCCTATTACTAAAAACCAAATAAAACTCAACTAATTGACAATGAAGTTCACCAACGCAGTCCTCGCTCTCAGCAGCAGTCTTTTCCTTTCTTCAGTCAGCGCCCAAGACTCCACCATTGTGGAGATTGCTGAGAGCACTGGAAGTCACACAACCTTGGTGGACCTTGTCACCAAAGCCGGACTGGTGGACACTTTGAATGGAGCTGGTCCTTTCACTCTCTTTGGACCCACTGATGACGCTTTCGCTGCTCTCAATGGCGCTGCTGACAAATTCACCACACCTGAATTCAGTGAGCACTTGGTGAGTTTTTGCTTTCACACTTACTTCTTGCTTTGAACTGTTTTATTGTTTACACGCATTGCTTTGGTTTTTGGTTCACTAAGACTCATCACTTTGTACTTCTCTTCTCTGTCTGGTGTCTGATATTCATTCTAAAGGTTGACATTCTGACTTACCACGTCATTGGAGCCAAGGTGACATCTGCTGATTTGGTGGATGGACCTGTTGCCATGGTCAATGGAGAAGATGCCAGCGTCACTGCTTCTCCTCCCATGATCAACACTGCCAACATTATCGCTCCCTTTGATGCTGAGGGAAGCAATGGAGTTGTTCACTCCACTGATGCTGTCCTCCTGCCCACGTCTGTCACCAGTGATATTGTGGATATTGCTGCTGGAGCTGATGCTTTCAGCACTTTGGTAGACTTGGTCACAACTGCCGGTTTGGTGGACACTCTGTACGTAACCAAAGAATGATCTGACATCTTGCATTGATGATGAGCTCACACTCTTTCATGTCATCTTTTCTTGTGCTGCAGCAAAGGAGAGGGACCCTTTACCGTTTTCGCACCTACCAATGATGCTTTCGCAGAGCTTCCTGAAGAGACAGTGGCCTTGCTGACATCCCCCGAAGGAAAGGATCAACTTATCGACATTCTTACTTACCACGTTGTTGCTGGAAATGTTTACGCCTCTCAAGTCCCCGCTGAAGGCGAGATCACCATGGTCAACGGCGATGCTGCCATGGTCAAGAATGATGGCTCCATGGTCATGATCAACGATGCCATGGTTGTCATGGACCAAATCTTGGCTTCCAACGGAGTCATCCACCCCATCAACAAGGTCATTCTTCCTCCTGCCGATGACGCCTCTGCCCCTCCTGCACCAGAGGAGGGTGCCACCGGAGCTCCTGCCACTCCCGCACCCACTCCGGAATCCACCACCAGTGCTGCCGCTTTTGTTGGAACTGCCTTTGCTGCAGTTTCTGCCGCGGTTGCCATGCTCATGTTGTAAATAACTAATGAATGGATGGATGGGAAAACGTCGTGTGAAGCTAATTTTGAGAGGAAGAAGGATGTCTTTTGGTGGCTTCGACAAGTTTTTGCTTTGCGTGTCTATGTACATGTCGTGTAAGAAGAAGTTTTGAGAGGAGAGCAAGGATCGATTGTTGACGCCACACCCATTTCGTGTTGTACATAACAGTTAGTGAAACTAAAATAAACAAAGAGAGTTTTTAAAGTCACAAGAGGCTAGACTAAAGCGCATGGTTGTGGTGGTTGCGCTGTGAAACAACATCGGCATGGGCATGCTACAAGGGCCTGAAGTCAGGGGTGGTTGTACATCTACAGTAGCTAGAGTTCTACAACGTTGCTGACTTCGTCAATGCCATGAGTGGCGGAGCATCATCAGGCTCCCAACAAGCTGGCAAGTACTGCATTACGGCTCGTACATCAACCAGAGTACCGGAATAAAGTTTCCTTGACGCACACTAAAACCATGAGGCACATGAATTGTAAATGCTTACTACACCTGATATCCTGCCTTTAATGCTATATATCAAGCTTAATACTCTTTCTATACCTATACAACCATCATCTGGAAACATTACATATGGGGTCTAGATGGAAGAGTTAGGGAGTAATGGTTGGAAAGAGCCGGTAAATTTTACATTAATTTTACATTTGAAACCACAACAAGAAAAGCGCCGACAATGGCGAAACGAATCTGTCGAACGACGCTCCGACGCCATGGCGAAACGTACAGTCGTTTGATCGACACCAGAGGTCAGCTACGGCTAAAGAGGCCGTCGCACCATGGTCACTTTACATTTCGACCGAGCCAGTGTGTGTCAAGCCTATTTAATTCTGCCAGTACCGGACCCTGAGCGTACAATTTGTTGAAGATGCCTGCGCGCGGGAACACCAAGGTCATCATCGAAGATCACATCGCTCCTTCCGTTCATCCGAGTTGCCCTCAACCGACAGAAGACACAGCCATTAGATCCCAAAGCTTTCACATAAGTTGCACATAAGTTACTTTTCACAACACGAAAATCAAGTATGCATACAGCCGACGAGAAAGTGGGCATCAGTATGACGGCAACTTACAGAGACAAAATTGATGCTCTTTACGATGAGCTTCACGCCCATGTTCTGAGAGAAAAGAGCAAGGAGCGAAACCTTGCCAGCGTCAGGCAGCATTACGTTCATGTGGAAGAGCGGCTCAGTCATGGCATGACACTGGTCAAAAGATCCGTTGAACAATCTCCTCGAGTCACTCTGTTTCTGGTACTGTCCTTGACGTTCTTGATTCAATGGACATGGTCGCCTTTCGCACAGCGGGATCGGCATATGATTCGCCACGCAATGATAAAAGGGGATTACAGTCGACTCGACGTTTCCTACAACTTTCGTATCGATGAAATGGAGCCACAGCACTGGTGCTTGTTTGGGACTGACCAGCAATGTCCCTGTGAAGATCCCACTCACGGAGAGGACCGAGCCGAGTACAAAGCCTGGACCGGACCGCATCACCGAAACGTCAACAAGCTAAAAGAGGCCACGGAACGCAAAGAGGAAGTCGATGTTGTCTTTATAGGAGATGAAACTGTGCAAAGCTGGGAGGGAATGTGGTTCAATCACCGCTGCCCGCAATCACAGGAAATTGTGGGGCATTGGAACAGAACCTTTGGTGCTGTCAATTCACCGGACAGCATCAAAGGAATGCATCTGGGAATCAGTGGAGATCGGGTAAGTCTATCTCCTAAAATCTTGTCTCTTGCGCCACCGAAGCTTCCTTCTAACATCTTGCTTCTCCCAATTGTTTAACGGTACTAGATCACACATGTGCTTTGGAGACTGCAACATGGTGAAATGCCCACGGAAGCTCTGAATGCCAAGGTGATTTGGTTGATTCTTGGAAGCCGAGATTTGGCAGTCAGATTGTGCTCCGAAGAAGTTGTGACGTTGGGGATCCTTCGCATTGCCGAAGAGATTAAACACTTCAATCCACAGGCAACAGTGGTTGTCCAATCCATTCTTCCACGGACCCTTCACGATGATGGATCTCTGGAGTCACCCCATGCCCGGCCACTCAAACACGACAACTTGGTGAGCGACTCTGATCATACTAGGAAAGGCAACAAGAAAGGGCAGTCAGTCAAGATCAATACGGAATACGGGGAACTTGACGAGGGTCTCGAAGCCTTGGAAGAAGACGAAGAACGACAAATGCATCAGGCAGAACCCAAGTACGACTACTACCTGTGGCCGTCAATCCAGAATATCAATCGCGAGGTGGAAGACTTCTGCAATTCTCATGATGGATATGAGTTCTTTGATGCTGCTCCTCTCTTTTTGACCAGTCGAGGAAACGATCGGAACCACATGTTCATCCAGCGAGAGCTTTTGCGACAGTACGCTCAACTTTCCCACGAAGGTCATGGCGTCTTGTTGGATGCCATTCAGAGACGAATGGAACAAATCCTCAAGCGCATGGAGAGCTAAGCTGCACGAGCGCGCACGACGATGGAGCCAATCAAAGATTGACAAAGAGTTGAAGTCATGTATGGTAGTTTTCCTATTTGGTTATTTGTATAGTTAGTATGCCATACTCTAGCTAGAATCACATTGCTGTTGATGGTATGGGAAATGCTGCAAGTGCATTGGTTCTTCCTGCCTGTCTATAGACACAAATCATTCAAATCGTTGCTTTGCAGCTAATGGCTGCACACTGCCAACTCTTTGGCAGCTCGTCGCCTAGCGAATAATTCAAAAATGCCCACCTCCTCGGACTCATCCAGTTGGTGCTGTTGCCGCTCTTCGTGGGATTGCTGGGATTCTTCTTTGTTCTGAAGGTCAGATCCTGTACACTCTTCAGGTGCCTTCATCTCCTGTGTTTCTTCATCATCAGCACTGGTGCTGTTATTGCTGCTGCTGTCGCTCAGAACTTCGGCGGTCGATTCTTCATCCAACGAATTCAGGCGCTTTCGCTGCTGCCATTGCTTGGGTTGCACTGGGCAAGTGATTGAACACTCTTTGGGTGTCTCTTGGTGTTCTTCCTCGAGCTCTTCTTCGCTGTCACTCAACTCTTCGAGTGTCGCTTCTTCTGGCAACGAATCCAGGCGTTTGGGCTCCTGCCATTGCTTGGATTCTTGAGGTTGCAACGGGAAAGAGATGGAATACTCTTTGGGTGCTTCCTCGAGCTCTCCTTCACTGTCACTCAATTCGTCGAGTGTCGATTCTTCATCCAACGAGTCCAGGCGCTTGCGCTCCTGCCATGGCCTGGCTTGTGACTGGCCAGAGCGTGTGTACTCTAGGGGTGTCTCTTCGTCCTCCTCTTCGTGCTCGTCATCACCCTCGTCTTCACTGTCGCTCAACATATCAGGGGTCAACTCTTCAGCCAACGAATCCAGATGCACGCACTGCTGCGATTGCCGGGATTCTTGTGACTTCAATGGATACTTTCCGGGTGTTCCTTCCTCCTCTTCTTCCTCGTCTTCACTGTCACTTAGCATGTCTGGTGTAAACTCTTCAGCCATCGACTCCAGGTTCTGGCACCACTGTGGTCGGTTGGGTTCTTTTGAGTGCACTGTTCCAGAGAACGAAGAGTCTTCTGGTGTCTCTTCCTCGTCCTCTTCTTCACTGTCGCTCAACATGTCAGGGGTCAATTCTTCATCGGTCGAATCCAGGCACTGACATTCTCGAAAGTAAAGAAAGATTCCTTGCTGAATCAAGGCATTGGTAACAATGCCACGGTTCTTGAGACTCCGTTTGAGTGCCTCCAAATTGCCTTCCTGCTCCAAGAACTCTCTCATGTCTTCCTCAGAAACGGAGAGGGCCCTGACGGCACTTCTGAACTTGTCCACGGTCGACGTGCGTGAACGACAGCTAGAGCTCCTGGTTGAAGCACTCATGCGGGTACTGTTGCTGTGGCCACTGCTTCCCCCCAAAGTTATTCCGAGGAGAAATCGTTGAGACATTCGGAAAGACTGTCGTCTGCTGGCTGGTGGCGGCGTTGCAGCTGAGAACGATGTTCGGGGGATGGACGTGATGGTCTGTCGGCGCTGCCTCGTACCGGTAGACGGTGGCACTGGAACAGCATTGGGAGGCCCCGTCTTGAAGGATACCACGGATTGTCGCCGTTGTCGAGGTCCGCTGCTTGTACTAACTGGTGGTGCTGGGGTACCGGTACCGGACGAGTCTGGGAATGAAACAAGCGTTTGTCGACGTCTTGACAATGACGGAGGTCCTGATAAGACCACAGCAACAGGAACGGGGGCAGGAGTCGGCGCTGGGGTGGACGTGGGAATCGACATGATGCTCTTCCGCCGACGATCCAGGCTTTGGAATACACTGCTGAAAGATTGCTCGATCATCGTCAACGGCTTTGTTCTTGTGTTTGCTTCTCCAACGTCTCGACTTTATTTCTGCCCTCCAAAGACTATGCTGCAAGGACCATGACAATGCCAAGCGGCAACCAAATAATATTGTGATGGTGGTGGTGGGAGAAGATAAAAATGTCACTGGACTTGTTTTGTACCGAAGCCAAAAACGATGGGTTTGCTTTCCGTTTCTACAGCCAAACTCTGGCATCACATCAATAACTGGCTACAGTTACGGTACCGGTACGTACCAGTACGAATAGGTCGTCGATTGAGGTCAATCAGTCTCATATTTATAAAAAAAGAGAGACGGTTGGTGCAATGCTTCTATAAAGACGATGCGAACGCCTCCAATCTGTTTCTGGTTTCTGAACTACGACTATCATGGCAAACATCGTGCCACTGGCAGCCTTGCCAGTGCGCCTGCTCAAGGGCTGGATATATTTGACTGGATTTGTCCCTTGTTGGTTTCCAGTCATTACAGGCATGTCATTGCCCTCATCTACACAACCTGGTCCTTGCTGGCTATCAGCGATGAGTAAAGGTCACGCGCTCAGTTTGGCTGGAAGGATTCACATCTACATTAATTTTAGCTATGCATAATGAAGGAACTCTCCAAGAACGTCAACAGAATCATCAGCTGAGTCAATTTGTTTTAGAATAGCTGTAGGATGTCAAGTTGGGGAGACATCATCCAGCTTCACTGATGCGTCTTAAGCAAAAAGAATCCTAGGTTGTAGTCTCCACTTTGCCAAACAGCTACTATGTGGCTGATTTGCTGCATTGAAGAATCGTATTTGAAGCTCCTTGAAGCTCTGAGCAGGACTAATCGATTTGCGGCTAGCCGGAAAGGCCTACTACATGATGACTGATGACTATCTAGCCGCTGTCTACCCCTTTCCAGTTCAATGGTCCTAGATGCAATTGAAGCAAAGGGTAGATCGACAAAGAATCACACACCGGTACAGCCAGCATTTGGATGCGACAATCATTATTACAAACATGGAACGTGGTCCGGGTCTTCAAATAAATGACCCTGATTGCATGCTTTATTGCCATTGGTATATCAGCATTCATATCTCCTTTCAGATAGCTACCGGCCTGGACCGCCATGATTCACACTGAAACTTGAAGAAGTTGATGGGAGCAGCACAAATCCATGCTTCACCCTAGAGGCACAGGCAGGCTTCAGGAAGAAAAAAGAAAGCTCCAAACTGAGCTTTTCCTTGCTTGGAACCAGGCAAAACTGACATCACCATGCCGTGGCTGACTGATGAAAAGGCATGCAATTGTGCATTAGTATTTAGTATAGCTAATCCGCTGGAACATATCATATATACAATGTAGATCCTACTTCATGGTGTGGTGTACAGAGTTGATGGCTGTGACATCACCAGAGTCTAGCAACATATGAATCGCTGATTGTCACTTGCCCTCCTTGGGAACGATTGATGATTCCCTTTCCGGATATAGAGGTGATGGATACATTGTCTAGAAGGCAATGTGGCGGAGGAGCTGATGGAGTTGGTGCAATTTTTTGCTGTATGAAGATGGCAGCATTTTGATTCTTTTGCTTCAGTAGCAGAGATACTTGAACACGTGAATAGTGCTGCAAGGTGATGCTGTGCAGTTCTAGACGCCCTTGTTGAAGGTGAATGAGTGGCTATTGCACAGTCTGGTGTCCATGATGAGCACAGCTTGTGGCTGGGATGGGTCTACTTCCATTGGGTCTTGCAGATGTGGACCTACACCATGAGCATTGGTGAAAGGTGGCAGTGTCTTGATTCTAAGGCAAGCTTGTTCAGGCAAGGCAACGAGCACGGGTTGATTGACGCTGTGAGTCCCAGGTCGGATCCAAACTGTGATTGGTTTACGGTTTCGCTTGATTCCCATTTCGCGATTGAATAAGTGACTGGCGAGTCTCATTGCTTGCGTCAGCGTGGAGCAGTCGTCGGGGACGAGGATGTGCTCTTGAAAGAGTGAGCGCCAACAAGTGCCTTGATGTGGATGTGGATGTGGATGAGGCTGATCATAAGGATGGAGGACTCTGTGTTTGTTCAGAGCGAGGCAAAGAGCTCGATAAGTGGCTTCGTGATGTGCGGCTCGTCTCCACGCCTTGTTGACCCTGGCCATTGTTACCAGCGCACTATGAGGTCCCGCAAACGCCAAAATCGACGACACGATTTCCTGAGGTGCTTCGGATACCAACAGGGTCAGCATGATAATACCCGTACTATTTCTTGTTGCTCTTGTGGAGGGAGGTAGTTGGCTTCGGACTGAAGCCACTATGGTGATGTAGCTGCTGCGCTAGTCGAGTTGTCGACTTCAGTTTAAAAGAAGCACTCTACGCAGTTCTGGATTCAAGAGATGAACGGTGCTTCGTATCAGACCTCGGTAGTGGTGAGCAATAGCAAGTGACCAGGATCCTCGTCCGCAACTTGCGGCGTTTTTTCTCATGACACCCGCAGATCTGTTTCGCGGCTGGGCATGATTGAGCGAAGGAAATTCAACCCGAACAGGTCTGTCAAGTTGTCAATAAACTCAGTCCAAGTCAATTTTCCGGACATGTGACATGTGACTCCTTGCGAGGCATCACATGGCCTCAACAAAATTTTACACCAAGACCAAGGGCTATTGCCTAGCCATCAAGAAGGAAAGAAGGAAAGCTGAATTTTGCCAGCTGGTTCTACCGGAAGCTATAGGAGTACTGATGAGAATCCATTGTTTTGCCAGTTCTCACTTTTGAGTCATCATGAGATCGCCGTGATCATTAAATTTTTCTCTTATGATGTGTGAATCAATGATCTTGCCAGGACATTCTGAGACTGCACAGCAACGTGAGATATCTCTGGCTATTGTGGTGTAGAGCCGACGTGGTGCACTTGGGCAATAGAAAGTGTCCTTTTTTAAATCCACAGCTGATTGGATTCTTTTCAGAAATAAATGTGAGTCCTTTTCACACTTACTTCTCCTTCCACTTCACCTTTTTTTTTATTTTTAAATCATTGAAGAAACACAAGGTTGATTGAAGAGCTGAAACAAGAAGCTTCCTTGCCTTCTCTTACCCATGGCTCCTACTGCTCCTTTTTACCGAAACTTCACCAGTTCCAATGAAATAATGCTTGAACATTGAGTACCGTTACCTTTTCAGGAGGCACAGAACAGCCGAAGAGTGGTGATGACTGTCGTGTGTCGTGTCAGTTTCAGTGGATTCTCTCGTTGGTGAGGGGGCAAGCTGTTGTAAGTTGACATGGCACTTGGCACTTGGAACATGAAAAGAAGGTCAACGAAATCATGACGTCAAAGGCAATAGCTCCATCCACACAAGATCAAATGGATTTCCGAACCGAGATTTACCCCACCCAGCTAGTCTACCTTCCGCTGTACATGTAAGGTAGAGGAGGCGAGCCGGGGAACCACTGGCCGGCATTGACTTCCTGTTGAAGGAGTCTATATATTATGTTGACTTTGTAGGCAATACCACTGGGCAGCTGGGCAGTAGGCAATAGGCAACTGCCAACCACGGTGCCTGCTTCTTCTTTTTTGAAGACTGAGATAGTGGATATGTTCACCGCTTGCTTGTGGACTGAATCGGTGAACAAGGGATCGAAACACAATGATCATTCCCAGCTTGGCAGGATGAACATTTATTTACAGCTCATTCACCATGTTTACCAGGTAGTATGTGTTCACTGGCGGGCATTGGCTTGGGGGGTTGAAGGAGGCAATCTGTAGACTTTGTTTATCCCGTACCGGTAGGCAATAGGCAGTAGCTAGCTAGCTAGCAGAAAGACAGCGTGTGATTGTCTTGAAAAGTGATGTTCTCTTTGAATACCTTCTTGATTGGAGGATCCTTCCAAGCTTGCTGGTACAGTGCAGTATGAACATTGCTGGATACAAAGATCGACAGGAGTCTGAAGATCACACTGGCTGGCTGGGTGGAGTCTAGCTAGGTCTAGCTAGTATGTATTAGAGCGGCAGCTCCAGTAGACCAGCAACTGTGGTAACCAGGGTGACTAGAGTTTTGTAGCTAGCTGGCTAGAATAAAGAGTGATTGATTGATTGAATTGGTTGCTGAAGGTTTTTTAAAGGTTTCATGAGGTACTAGTAGTATGCTGTGTTACTCAATCAATCAATATCTTGAGAATAGTTTGGCAATGAAGCAGTCGCTTTGTGTTATTTGACAGCAGGAATCTTGACATCGTTTGATGATGCCTCGTCCCGCATAGGAAGTCAGAACAACGTGTTCCAGCTTGATGTTGCGAATGCAATCTTCGTGGGGACCTTGTTCATGGTCGACCACTAGAACTGCATTGCGGCTTCTGGTCTTGGCCAGGACAAACACATCCACTGGTGAATAGTGCTCTAACCGCATGTTTCGTACGGTGAGACTCCCGGAGGTGATTTGAATGAGAGGCTTGTTTGGTACCGGGGTTTCCATGGACAGGACAGCCTTGGTTTGTGCTAGCTCAGCCTTTGTGTAAGTGGAAAGTCTAGGTCTCTTGTTGGGGGCATTGGGATTATTAATAGATAGGTTGGAAGTCTTGCATTCGTCGCGGACAACATCTAGCACTAGATGTCCGTACTTGTGTGCCTGAACCTTGAGGGTCTCTTGGACTGAGCGAGCTGGTAGCGAGGCAGGGTCTACCAGCACTTTGATGGTCTTGATCTTCGAAGCTGCCAGCCTGGCACCGTCTGACTCAGATGGCTCAGTACCGGTAGGGTTAGAGTTATGCTGGTTTGGGTGGTTTTCGCCATAGAACGCGCGTGTTTTTGGAACTCTTGGTTGGCAAAGTTGACTGCGGCTGCCACAGAGGCAAAGTCTTTAGGGACAAGGAGCGTAAGAGTAGTAGTGCTAGTGGAGGAGGAAGAGGAAGAGCAAGAGCCGACTGAAGAAGAGAGAGGCCAAGCAGCGCCGGCTTCAAAGACCAACTTGTTCAAAGAGAGACTGGCAGCTGTGCGCTTGGTCTCTTTCCATAGAAGACTCTCACTGGAGTCGATTGATCTGCTGCTGAACGACATGGCGGAGACCATTCTTGACTTATACTAGTATTGGCTTAAACTTGTTATGTTGGAGAGTACTGGTAGTGGTAGTTGAGTTGAGTAAGAGGCTGTGGTTGCAATTGGAGCTTGTTATTTTGTTTTTATGAGAGACGAGTGAGTTTTTGAGTTTTTGAGAGTCACCACCACAAACCAGCTCAGTCTCGCTCGGCTTGGTGGTTCAGGTGCTACTTGTACGTGGGCAACTCGAAAGTGGGACCGCCACCAACTTACCGGTCTTTTCATCAGTACCGTCCGGACCGTAGAGAGCCACGTAGCGCATTCTATACTTCAACTGCCACTTTACTTCAAGGAACTAGAACTCCGAGTAAACATTGTCTGCGCTGTTTGTTCAAGACAAGCTGTCATTCTTGGAACTTCAGTGAGAGTGTGGGAACTAAATGACATTACTATCTAAGTCCTCCTTGAACCATCCAAACTATGAGGCCTACGACATTGACCTACACGACCGATCTCTACCACGTGGCAAACCTCAAATATCCTCCTTACACAATTTCTACGCACACAAATCTTGGGAAGATACGGTGACCAACGGTTTTTTATACGTGGCCACTTGCAGTTCCTTTCTTTCGTTCCGCTGATGAGGTGGTACAAGTTTGGATCGATACCGTATGCTGGCCGCTTCTTTTCATTTCTTTTCATTTCTTCTTATTGGCTCTCATCAATAGTTCCATGAGGGCAATTACCTAAATCAATTGATCTCTTGATGATTCATCATGGGAACCAAAATTCATCAAGGGCCTCCTCACTTCAAGACGACCTCCTTTACGAACGAAATCAACGCATGGGACACCAAACTGGTCATCCAAATTAGATGGCAACCAAGCAATTGCAAGTCGGCCTCCGAAACAGCGCGAGCAGCCACCACACCACCGCAACTGTGTCATGATGTCATGATCATTGCCGGATTGCCGGTTTGCTTCTGAGTAGCCAGAACAAGAGTACTGATGAGTACCGGTAGTCTAGCTAGCGAAAATATTACCGAAACTTCAACTGTACTCGAAACCCAGCCCTAGACTACTCTGCTGTAGCACATTTCTAGCTAGCCTACATCTACTCGAGTACAATAGCAAGCTTGTTGACCATTGCTGTGTACGTGTGTACGTAAGCTGCCTATTGCTACTCCAGCTCGACGGAGCGGTGTACGGTACTGGCTGCCGTACTCCTCCACCGGCCGTGGAGTAGCTAGAGTGGCGAAAAAGTTTCCAAAACTTCAAGCTAGCTAGTAGGAGCTTGAAAGCGCACTATTCTCGTCCCCTGAACTCGCTCCTCAACACGTGTACGTACTCAGAGCAATCGAAATACCGGTACGTAATCCGCTCCCAAGCGAAGAAGCAAAAGGAGCCGAAGCTACGGTACATGTAGCTGCCTGTTAGCTGGAGGCTGGAGGCCCGCACCTCCAGAGATGGAGTCGAGTCGTCGAGAGCCTCGTCTGTCACTGACTGTTGAACAGATCCAGCCAGCATCCAGCAGGCAGGCAGATCATTGCGAAAGTGGCATGGGCCCGCAGTGCAAGGTCAGCCAGAGCAGAGAAAACTACCTACCGGTACCTGGACTGGTAGCTGTTGCCGAAACTTCAAGTGCAGCCACACGAAACCCAGTCCGGCACAACATGTACTCACTCGTTAGACTTGGCTGCTAGACTACATCTACGGATTCGATTCGATTCGCTTCGATTCGAGATGAAAGCTGCTCGAGTAGTAACTTTGAGTGGCGAAAATTAATTGTTGGACGAAACTTCAAGTGGCTGGCTGCATCTCGAAAACATGCATTCGTAGCCGTACGTAGATAATTCGCTCTCGTCCAAACGATGTTATTGGCTTATTGCTGCTGGCGTCATCGTTGCATACTCTAGTACATGCACTGCGTCCATTGCACTGGCTCAGACCGCATTCATTCGCTCGTTGTGTCTCCACCAGTGGCAGCCGGGGAGCCTAGGGTAAAGGAAGTGCTCTGGTGAATGCCTACCACCAACCAACAGCTAGCTAGCTAGCTACATGTAGGTAGTACAGTACGGTACACTGTGTATGGGAGAAATCTGTTGAACCAACGGTTTGCTTCATTCTGAGGAGGAGGAGCAAACTCGCACTGACGGCCTGACGCCAAGTTGAATCGTCTCCGCACGGAAGTTTGCTTGCGCCAGTTCCAGTCTGGACCCCGAAGCACTGGCTGAGACTCTGGAGGCTCTTGCTACATACAATGTCATCATGATGTGGGCAGAACCTGTTGCCATGGGCGGGTCTGAAACCCGTGGATAAGCCTGACCTCAACCAGCTGCGCAAATGTGCGATCTTATTATGGAGGACATTTGGCGAAGAATAAAAAGTCACAGACTCTTCTAGGGGATCCCCCAGATATAATTCACCCCACCTTCCAATTTGTTTCAAATATGCAGTTTTATTTCTATTGGCTACGTCTATCCAAGATTGGGTGATATCTAGATATTTATGGTGGACAAATTCCCTCTCAATTATTTGCCCCCCCAAAACTGTACCAGTTCGGTCTGCAGTTTGGCAACGCGGAACACAGCTCCTGCAAAACTCATTTCTTTGGCTTTGCTTCAATTGAGATGAGATTGACCATGCCAACCAGTACTAGCACTAGTACTAGCACTAGTAGTGCTACTAGTGCTAGTAGTAGTAGTAGATTAGGTGATGTTGACTGCACCTATAGTACTGTGAGAAGTCAGATCAGACAGTGCAATTGGTTTCTGTTGAGTTTGGCAATTTTCTTGGCTTGTCTTCAAGTCTTTAGAGTTGCCCACAGCATTTACAGTGCTACCAGTGCTACCACCACTACCAGTACTACTGCATTGCTTCATTCCAATTCCACTTTCAAGTCCACTTTCAATTTCAAGTCTAACTTGTATGAAGGTGAAGATGACCATGAAGGAGATGGAAATGGAGAAAATGAAAATTCCAATAAAGACAAAATAGCAATTTTGTTGTCCATGGTTCCTTCCAAAATGTGGAACCAAAAGGGCTTGGACCATGCCAAAGCCAATTTGAACAATTTCATCAACAAGGCTTGTTATGCCAAACTCTGGAACTATGATTTGATTGTCAACACTACCAATGCCTTCCAGGAATACACATACAAAAGACCATGGCTCCATTTTGGAGCTTGGAATCGAGTCCCACACATGCAAGCACTCATGGACTCCAAAAAGTACAGCTGGATTCTATATGGAGATCATGATATGCTCATTCATGACATGACCAAGCCCATTGAATCCATGCTGAAAGAAGTACACCTATATGGAAAACAAAAGTCCGCCAGTGCATTCATTCCCGTCGACACTCCTGGAAAAGACATTTTCGACTTCTCGTCATTTGCAATCATGCTACAAGCAAACAACAACAACAATAAGAATCAAGTCGCAAGGAACATACTCAAATATTGGATGAAATTTGCCATGGGACTCTGCCCAAAAGGAAACTATCCTCCTCCTGCTGGAGAAGAAAATTTTACACACACTCATTCCTATGATTGGCAACACAGCGATCAGCCAGGTCTCTGGTACAGTCTCGCCAAAACACATCAAGAATACAACTATTACCTCAACAACCAACACAACAATAATCACAGCAGCAGCAAAAACAACAACACATATGATGAAAATAGTCCTGATCTCAGTGAAATTGGAGAGTGCAACAAGGAAACAGGATATTTGAGTCATATGGCACATGCATTCTATCTGGGAAAATACTTTCAACAAGCCAAGGTCGTCAAGGGAACTGGCGGACCTGCTCTGGCAAATGTACCCAAAAATCAATCCATTCTATGGTCACTGTTCGATGACAATGAACCAGATATATCACTCCACAGTGACACTCTTGTCAGCCAGAGAATTGGGAATGGACCATTCGCCATCAACACTCTTTGCTGCGGACAAGCCAACAAACTTAAAGGGCTGCGACCACCATTTGCCATTCACACAAAGTTCCCCAGCAACAATTGGCCTGGAGACATGCCACTGCAGTTGCAACAATGCAAACAGAATTTGGGATGCTTTGCCAATCTCACCAATGACGGGTTCTTGACGCTGGGATGTGCGGATACTCTCTACTTTTCAGGAAGGCTCTTCCAATAGACTAGGCACATCAATTTACTTGTCTTTGCGATGACGTTACCGTACCAGCCACTGTGGTCTAGCTAGCCGATCATGCACGTAGACAGACACGCAGCAAATGCAAGCGTTGCATACCGATACCAATACTATACGATCGAAATGCGGAGCCGATTTCTACAGACAATGCTCGATGCAAGTTAGGTGCACGAGTAGTTGTGTAACAGGACGGACTCGACTCGTGCCTGCGGTCGCGAATCTCATTTCGATCGTCGTGGGGGGAGAAACGACACACATTTCACGCACACAATCTTTTAAAGGTTAGATCGGACGAGTACCGGTACGGTGACAGCCAATGAGTTGCAACTGGCTTTTCGTGTCGAGTTCGGACGGCAAATCCAAATATCGAGGAATGACAAGTTCGCCCCCAAAGCACCGACTCGACTCGACTCGAGCATCCACGAGATCGCTCGTACACTATAGTTCGTCCAGGCTCGTGGAAACATTTCTGCCAGGACGACGATCCAAGTAGTATACGTTTCGTGCAGAGCGACAGCTCCACCAACGGAGAACTCCTCCGACTCGTCGCTCGTATGCGTACCGGTGCTCTCGTTTGCCAGTTCGGAGGATGGTTTTTGTTTCATCACCGAAAGCTGGAAGGTTAGTTGCGGTCTGAGATGTGTGGTCCGCAGCTGTCACGGTATGGTCCGTTCCTGTGGATTTTGCGAGCTGGGCTTGTTGCGTCACATCAATGGTGGACTGACAAGGAAGGCTTGCCATGATTGAGACAGAAAGCGGAGCTCTGAAGGACATGCATAGCTTTAGCAAGTTGATGCAACTGCCCAGCTTCCGTTTTCAGTTGCCATGGTGATTTAACAGGATAAGAGGCTTTTACTTACGTGGCATTTACTTCAACATGTGAAATGCCCAGCGCTATCTTCCACGTGTGAGGATTCAAAAGCTAATTTGAGTACAGAAGAAAAGAACAAGGTCTGCCGGTCAAGCTTCAACTTCTGCCCTCCTTATGACGCATAGCTAGTGCCAAATGATATGTTGGATATGCGCAGCTGATGTACAGTACCATCGTCGAGGGGTAGGCTCTCTTTGCCTACCGGTAGCGATATGGTCATACTAGTGCTACTCACAGCGGGCTGCAGTCGTAATCCAGTACCAGCTGCATGAAAGCGGAAGGCCCAGCTAGTAGCTAGCTAGCAGTCAAGAGACTCTCGGGTGGTGCTGGTACCTGTAGCTACCCAGTGAAAAACTCCACCTTTTACTGGGTGTACCGGTAGCAATGGCCCTATTAGCTAGACTACTGCCTGCTAGCTATTAGCTAGAGTAGCGGCTGAAGTAGTAGCAGCTGTAGCAGTAGCCAGGTACTTGAGTAGTAAAAAACTTCACCGCCTCTTCTATTCTACTAGTATGCTACTACTACGCATACCGGTAGCGTAGACTACTGGTGTTGTCCTGGCTATTCCCAGTTGTCCTTTGTAGCTAGTGACTGGTCACGTCAACTTCAACATGTCGAACTGTCCGAGGGCTATTCTGCAGGTGGTGATGAGTTCTTTTCAGAATAAAGAACAAGGTCTGACGGTAAAGCTTCAAACTTTGTCTTCCTTATGACGCATAGAGAGCATAGAGTCATCTAGCGGCAGGATGAACAAGCGGAACCATCGAGCCTCCTTCATTCCCACCACCGCAGATCAACCTCTTATTAGCTATCATCGAAACAGTGGCTAGGCCGCATCTGGAGCAAAATCTGAATACAAGTCACCGAAGCTAGCTAGCTACTAGCTACAGGAGTGGTTGCTTCTTGCGTCAGTAAGTTTTTCTCAGGCTCCTGGCCTGTCATCGTCGATTGACTCCATCAACCTTTTCACATCTGCTTGATATTACATGCATTGTTTGCACTCCGCACAACCAGTTTTGAGCCAATTTGCATCAAGATGGTGAGCTTGGACGTTACAAAAACTTGTGGAAAGGATGGTTCAGGCTCAGGCTCAGGCTCAGGTAAAAGTGTTCTATGTCTCTTGGAGGAAGGAGGCGCAGAAGAGTTGTTGGATAACATCTTTCAGTTTGCGGGAGGTCGCGCCGTTGCTTCAATGGGCCGCACCAGTAAATTCTGGAGATGGGCTGTAACTCGAGAGTCTCTGTGGGAATCTATGTGTCGTCAGCATGGCAAACGGAGGTCTTCTACATGTAGCGGTAGTCAGGAATGCTACGGCAATACCTTGGCAGTCCCACAAGATATCCCCTCCCTTTCTGGAGCAGTGCGCTACTGCAATGGAGAATTTGCCAAGGGCAAAAAGCACATGACTATCTTATTGGAACAAGAAACTACCTATCAAGTCAGAGAACCGCTTCTGGTTCAGGCTGTGGGGCACAATGCTTGTCTCACCATTGACTGTGTCTTTCCTAGTCTAAGCCAGCCTGATCCACTGGAAATGCGGTGTGCTAATCATATGGATGTGGATGTGGATGCGGATGTTTTTATGGAAGATCAGGAATGGGGAGATACCGACACTCTTAGCGAATTCTCCCTATTCTCCTACCAGACATCCATTATGCTCAGTACCATCAAGCCAAACCAACCACTCTTTCACGTGTCTGAAGGAACATTGGACCTCAAGAACGCCAAGCTCCTACACTGCAGTCCCATTGGATCTCTTGCGGAACTCAAACGCTCTTGCAATGCCGCCATCATGCTAGAACCAACCGATACAGATGCATGTCCACCACAAGCAAGAGCACCGGTACCACACATGCTGGTGCAACCACCACTACAAACAGGCCTGCTCATGAACCAACCAGACACCAACATCACAACCACCCCACCGTCCAAGTCCCTTCCATCCTTGGTTTTGGACAATGTTACCCTGCTTTCGTACTCGGGAAGAGGCATACTCAATCGTCATCAAGCCAATGTTGTCATGGAAAACTCGCAGATCATCAGGGTCTGCTGACCTCTACTTGAGACTCGACTCGGCTCTGATCCAGTGAAACAATTTTAGAATGCACTATATATACTTTATCATTGTGGCAAACGACTGGCATCCACCTCATTGTTTTCGTAGTCTTCTCCGTCCATGCTCTGATCGTCATCTTCCTCTTCCTCGTCCTCCCCCATTATTTCATCCACCCAACAATCCTGGTACGCTTGTTCCGGGTCTTTCCCAGCATACACCACTTGCATCATCCCTGGAAAGTATTTCTCCAGCATTTGTTGCGATATTTCCATGGCATCCTTCACCATCCCAACGCCTAGGACGCTGCTCGAGTCAGAGTGGCCTTCCACCACTTTGCAACTACACCTGTAGCGCAACTGCCCATCTCGCAGGTCCATTTCAAAATTACCCACAAATGTATAGTAATTGATGCAGGTCAACAATATTGCTACATCTCGTCTTTTTGCCAAAGGGACACGCAATGGAGCATCCAGATAGTAGCGAAACAATCTGGTTTCTTCGTCCACCATGATCACGACCGCACAGTCACAACCTTCGCAGACTTCTGTGACTGTATATTCCAGGCGGATATGGCCGTCGTCATCATCATTGTCAGGGGTTACAATGTCGTAGTCGTAGTCAATGGAATCCAGAGCCGCCTTGACGGTGTCCAGCACAGACGAGGAGTAAGAGGACGATTGGTCTTTGGCTTCTTGCAACTCTGTCAGATCATCCTGTAAGTTCGTGTCGAGGCTCTCACTCGACAAAGATGACACAGGTTCCAACAAAGGCTCAGACTTGGACGACTTTTCTTCATTCGCTATACATGTACTAGTACTAGTAATTGGCTCCCATAGAGAAGCATCTTCCTCTTCGTCCCACTCGCCCGGTGTCACTGGGACTGCTCTGCCAATCTGGTTTTTGAGGGCTTTGTTGATCTCATTGGAAGTACTCAGGATCATCTCATCGTCACAGATTGCTGTAGAGGTGTTGCCCATGTTGCTTTGCTCTGCTTTGGTGTGTCTCCGTGGATTTGTATTGTGCGATGTTGGCAAGGCATTCATCGGTATCCATGTGTTGCTTTCAAGGTCGACTGGACCAATGCTGCCATGACTGCAGGAAACAGTCACGACTAAATGGTAGTCTGTAGTCTGGCAGATCAGGTCGGCTATTAATATGTATCCATGTTTCACTGCATAACCAAAGCAAAGGAACAACGTCCCACGTCCTATCGACACTCCCGACGTAAAAGCGTCTCCAGATGAAATGAAAGCTTGACATCTGCAACCAGAGCATCACCATGATGACAGCAATGGCAGAGTACCGGTACCGGTACAAGCAATGAATGAGCCAACAGGCTAGCTAGCAACCCGCAAACTGCCCTAACAAAATGCCCTATCCGGATAGGTTGCTTGCACTAGCTAGACTAGTGGTAAATCCAGAGGTGGTTTGGCATCAGGCGGGGTGTACCACGTGCTACTACCACTTTTTCGCTGTACATACTCTGCATACATGTGCTTTGATTAAGGCTAAGGATGTATTGCAAAGCACGAGTAAATTGAATGGTGAGAAAGATCTTCCTTTTGAATGTCGCTCGACCTTGACCTCTTCTACCATAATAGCCAGCTAGAAGCTGTTGCATCGACATTCCATACATCATTGAGTGTCTGCTTGAAGAGGGTCTCTTCATTGGTTGGTACCGTAATAGTACTAGCTCGTATAGCATAGGATGGATTCCACTTTCAGCTTTGTCAGGGCCAAAGTGGGGCTGGTGGCAGCAGGCCTTCTATTGATACCGCTAGCCTTGGCCACAATCTCTTTCTTGAATCCCAGTTTACTACTAGTAGTAGTACCGGAACATATGCATAGCTTTGCCTTGCTTAGATCTATGCATATGCATACTGCTGATGGATCAGGTGTCTCTTTCATGCTGAAACTGTGTCAAGCAGCATTGGGGCCTCTTGCAGCCATTCCTGATCCCAAGGACCTGGAGGGAATCCACTATGAATTTGTATCCCCTGATACCCCTGATACCCCTGATACCCCTGATACCCCTCATCACCCAGTCCTCTTTATTCCAGGATTTTTTGGCACTCAGCTGGAGACAAAGCTAACCAATCGAGAGAAACCACACTGGTGGCTTCCCTGCAACTTGTGCCCCTCTACTACGTCAAAGTATGAGAAAATATGGATCATTCAAAATGCAGCCATTACCCTTCTTCCTTACATCATTGATTGCTATGCCGAGACCATGATGCTCAAGTGGAAATTTACTAGCAGCAGTGATGGTGATGGTGATGGTAATGGTAGTCCTCAGAAAATGAACTACCAGCCGGGCATTGATACTCGTACAAGGCATACCTTTCAGAGTGTCATGGAACTAGATCCCAAAACCCCCCTGTACACGTACTACGTCCAATTCCTCACGGAAGCCTTTGGATATCAACCGGATCAACAAATGATTGCTCAGGCGTTTGATTGGAGAGCCGGACCCGAAACATGGATGCAGCCAGGACAAGAATTTGATCAAATGAAGACAAAAATTGAACAAGCTGTGCATCGGAATAATGGGCGTGGCATTGTCGTCATGTCCATCTCGGCAGGAGTTCCCTTCTTTGCTCTGTTTCTCAATCAACGCGTCGACCAAGCCTGGAAAGACCGCCACATTCATGCCTTTTTTGCAGTATCACCCGTGCTCTCGGGAACCGTCCTGGCACCCATGCAATATCTGAGTCTGCAACACAATAGCATCTTTCCCGACTCGATTCCTCATTACGTGGTGGAAACACTGTCGCGCATCATTCGAACCACCTCGTCCGTCTCGTGGTTCTTTCCTCATCCCGATGCTTTCCACGACAAGCGACAAGCCATCATTACGACACCCACAAGAGAATACCACGCGCACGAATTGGACCAAGCATTGCTGGATGCCGGATACGAGGAACAAACCAAATTGTATCACCACAATCGACCATACTACGGAGGCACCCACTTGGTCCCGGGCGTGACAACGTATTGTCTGTCTGGCTATGGTATTCTGACCCCCGCATCGTTGCGGTACGAGAGCCACGACATGAGCGATGCTCCCAATGTCTCCGAGTGGGACGATGGCGACAATTGTGTTTTGGTGGAAAGTTTGCGGCAGTGCGATGCCTGGGCCGAACAACAGGAGCAACCCGTTCACGTACATCACTACTGGAATCAATCCCATGCCGGACTCTTGTACCACCCCATGGTCGTTGACATGTTTATGCATAGTGTGGCGGGCGATGATTATGAAGATGGTACTGCTACCGGTACTGGTAGTTTGAGTAGTACTGGTGATGATGATATTACTAATAGTGTGAGCACTGGTGGCATGGCTGGGTCGAAGGCAACTTTGAATTGATTGATTGATGGATGGAGCAAAGCAAAGCAATCATGATGATCCCAAAACTCAAATTGTGAGCTGAGAGCTATGGTATTCCTCGAGTCCGGTACTGTATCGGTATCTTTAGAACCGGGGTGCGTTGGTTGCAATTGGACGGGATTGATCATTCAGTATCAGAATCGAATCTTCAATCAGATGTTCAGCTCTAATCTATATTTGACATTCTATAGCTTTTAAAATAAGGTACTGTACACGGTATCATTGTCTCTAAAGATAGACGAAGGATGTACATGTTCGAAAGAACTGTACATTGCTGCGGATGGAGGGAGGAGGAAGACGACCTGTCGACTTGAAGCTGACGGGATATCTCGCGGTGAAGCTGGCTTACACCGCAGGCGGGAACCATCGAATTAATGGTCGTAAGATCCTCATCTGACAAGACCACACGAAGGTTAAATAGTTTTTATGTCTTTGGAGATTCTTCAGTAGACTTGTGAAAAAAGATGTTAAATCTCAAGAGTAGAAAGACCACACGAAAGTTAAGTATTAGAGTTGCGGTAATATGTCTTTGGTTTTTCTTCTTAAAGCTCAAGTGTACCCTTCTTGAAACCTTCCCTTACTGCGTAAAAACAGTACTGTTTGATCCACTGTTTGCGTGCAACCAACAAAGCAAGGAACAACAAAAAGTCCGACGGCTTGCAAAGGCGACACAGGACAACAACAAGGGAAGCCGCGAGGCAGAATAATAATATTGTTGCTGAGCTCTTTCACCTCACTCCTCACTCCACTCCCCACTCTTCTTCCATTCATCACATACATCATCACCACCATCATCACCATCATCATCATCAAATCAGCCGCAACAAGCAGTACGCAGAAGAAGACGCGGCACAAGAGAGCTTTGTTCAGCAGCTGCGGTGCTTCACTTTCTTATTACCGAGAGAAGCGAGGGCCGCTGCGTCCAGCTAGCTAGCTTTGCTACTGCTGCTACTGCTGCTTCTACGCACATCGTTGTATCATTGCCGTTGCACCATTGCATTCATCAAGAGTATCAAGAGCACGGTACGGTGGTCTACTACTATCAGCTACGGTCGACAAGCTGTTGCACCTTTTGACCGTCTACACCTTGAGTCACGAGTCGCCAGTCCTGGGAGGGCACCTGGACCCACCATTTGCATTGAAGCCTTGAGCTAGGTTAGCTATTGCTACTGTATAAGCTTGGATTGTTGGTCCTTCTAGCATAGCTGAAGGGACCGCTCTGCTTTGCAGATTCCAAGCCTGGATCCTTAGCTACAAGATCGCGGTAGATCTACCCTACACAAGCCACACCTCTGGAACCCTAGCCAGCCAGCTGCCTCCTTCCACTTGGCTATTAGCTAGACTGCTATACTACCTATATACAAGCACACGACAATAATCATGATCCAGACACCTGCACACAGATACAGATACCGGTACCACCGTGTCCTTTCCCTGGGACTCCTTAGTGTCATTGTTTGGTCTACTAGCCAATTACAAGTCGTATCTGGAATTGACCAATTGGCCTATGAAGAATCCATTGTCACAGCCCCACCCATGAAACCCGTTGTGGATTTCACGCTAAGGGATGACTTTTACGTGGGAAAATGTGAACCTTGCATTGCCCGCTCCGAATACAGAATACAAGTCATTGCTCATGGAACACAAAACGATGTATACTGGCAGCAAGTACAAACCGCAATGCAGCAGGCAAGCAGAGATACCATGGTCGCTGTTTCCATCACTCTATATAGTCCAACGCTGGACCAAAGTGAAATATACCTACGAATGGCTAACTCTATTCGACAAGCTGCCACGGCAAGCAATAGTGACAGACCGGATGCCTTACTCGTCACACTGCCATCGGTTGTGGTACATCAGGCCATTACAGTGGCACTGGCGGCAGGAATGCCCGTATTTGGATTTCACACGGGATATGATGTCGCGCCCGCTTTGGGTGTATTGGGATTTGTGGCACAGCATGAAACGCTCGCAGGACGAGTCGTGGCCGACGAGGTTATTCAACTATTACGAAGAAGGGATGTCGCGGAAGCCAAGGAAAATCGTGAAGTCGACAACACTGGCGACGACGACGATAAAACCACAATCGTATTCAACATGAACGACAATTCTACCACCGCATTCGTACCCACACTACCGCCCACCTCGGACGAACTGATACAGCAACGGAGAGTCATGTTTGTCAATTCCGAACCAGACAATAAACTCATGCTAGAGCGATACCAAGGAGTGCAAGAAATTCTGACACAACATCCAGCCATTGTTCAGGTTGACACAATCGACGTACGCCCCGTCGATGTATTCCAATCCGTACAAACCGTGCAAGAGGAGGTATTCAAGGACTGCGCATACGATGTCGTTGTCCTCAGCGAAGCGGCACTCGTCAACTTGGTCGATATCGTCACCAGTGCCATGGTCGACCTGGGATGCCAAGGCACTACCACAGTCGTGACATTTGGAATGTCCGAACAAATTGTAGAAGCCATTGTACAAGGACACATTGCTTTCACAGCGGCGCCACAGCATTACATCGAGTCCGTATTTGCCGTCGTCATGACCAGCATGTTCATCACCACTGGTAAAAAGCTATCTCTTCCCAAGGATCGCAAAATGTACCTCAGTGGACCCGTCATTGTCACGCCAGACAATGTACCCACAGACACAGTACAAACGTGTCGGGAACAAGCATTTCCCGTCTGCAATTTGGAAGGAGAAGCATTTGATCCCATGACAACCACCAGTACTACAGGAAAGCTGGGAAAGTGCAACTTTCGAGGCTGTTTGCCACGTGATACCATTCGAATCGGTGGGGTCCTTCATGGAATCACTACGGACTTGTTTTGGGATCCCGTATTTGCGGCCGCGACACAGGCCGCCGTAGACGTCGGAGTCGTACTCGAATTGGAACGATTAGAGCCACAAGAAACCTTTCAGATTCTTCATGCAAAAATGGCAGCTCGAATTCGAAATCTCTGTGAAAGTGGTGTCGATGGTTTGTTCGTTACGATTCCCGATGACACGGTACGGAGGTGGCAGCATATTGCAGCTTTTTTCCTTTTGCACACTTCTCCCTCTGGTTAAATTTTCTTACTCCATCGTTTGTGACATGCTTTTTTTCAGGTGGCAGAGAGCATTTTGTATTGCAGGTCACTGCATGTACCAGTAATTTCCATCAACGCTGGGGCTGATCAAGTGGAAGAACTCGATATTTTGCAACACATTGGACAAGAGGAGTACAACGCAGGTTATGGTGCCGGAAAACGGCTAGTCCAGGAAGGCATGAAAGAGGGATACTGTCTTAATCATGCGCCTGGGAACATTGTCCTGGACGATCGATGCAGGCAAGTTCTTTTTCTTGTAGCGAAGATTCTTTCGTCTCTTCTCGTTGTCGTCTCCTCGCTCATACCACGGTTTTGCTCTCATATTCCTCTAGAGGATTTAGCGATGCCATTGAGGAACACCCCGATGTGGTGTACCATGGAATGGTAGTGGTGGCAGACGACAACCAGGCAAAATTTACGCAAGCGGTTGAAACAGCAGTAATGGAAAGATCAGGCAATATAGCCGACACTTGGGACGGCATTGGTCTTCTTCTAGGAGGTGCCAGTCAGATGGGCGAAGCGTTGCATCTGTAAGAGTGACCTGTGCGGGGATGTGTGGTTTTGTGCCTTGCCTGACAAAGAAACTCTCTGCGATGGACATCTGACATGCGTGTTTCCTCTCTGCCCAACCGAAACAGCCATAGCCTCCACATCAATTCTGTTATAGGAAGTTTTGACATTTCCGATAGTATGTTCCAGGCATTCGACGAGGGCTGGCTGAAATTCGGCATTGACCAGCAGCCCTTCCTGCAGGGAAGCCTTCCAGTCTTTTTGCTTGCATACGGTAAGGAGCACATCTGATCGCCTTTCAAATCAGTTCGTTGTGGAGTACTGATTACCAATGCACTCGCTTTCTTTTTTCCTTAGCCGCGTACACGCAACAGAGTTTAGCCAATACTGTAATCGAGACTGGTCCTCGATTTGTGGTGGAACCTCCGAGTGTCTACGAGGAGCGATGTGAATCCTCGTTCTTCTCCATTTGCAGTATGTAAGTTCAGCGTGGAGCTTGATCAAAAAGACAATGCACTCAGATGCAGACCGTTGGAATCTGACCTTGTTGAGGTTAATATTTGTAGCTTGCCAGAGGAGGACTTTCAACTGATAAGCTCCTGGCTTTTGGCAATCGGCTACACGTTTGTCGCCATTACAACATTCACTGCGTTGATATGCTTGGCTTGGGTGGTCTATTATCGAGAGAGGTCCCTTCTCGGTAAGATCCATCTGCACCTGTTCCCCTTGTTTCCATTCAGAATCTTTCTCATCGTCGACTTCCTCGTGTCAGTACGAATATCGCAACCTCCGTTTCTGATAACTCTGGCTTGCGGATGCATTGTATCAATCCTATCCATCATTCCCATGGGAGTCCAGACGGAATATCGGTTTGTCAAAGACGACATTGCCACGGGAACGCTCACCGCCGAAGAAAACGCCGATATCCAGACCGTTGATGCGTCGTGTATGCTGTAAGCAATTGAGACATTGCTACGACTCTAAGGAAACGAATCGAATTGTTCTAAACTTGCCCCTCTGCTTGTCAGTGTGCCTTGGCTTAACAGCATTGGATTTGTCATGGTCTTTTCGAGCTTGTTCAGTCGGATCTGGCGAGTACAGATGATCTTCAAGTAAGAATCGTATCGTTGCGCTAGTTTGCAATGTCAATGACAACTGTGTGTATCTAACGCTGATCACGACCAACAGAGCTGGTGAAGCCCTCCGAAGGCGAACTGTGTCGCTGATCGACATCGCGCCGTATGTCGCAATCATGTTCGTGGTTGTTTTGTCTTTATTGATTGCATGGCAAGCTGTTGATCCGTTTCAATGGGGGCGTGAAGTCCTGCTGGTAGACAACGATGGATACGTTTTGGAATCCACTGGCAGATGCACCTCTGATACTGGGTGGTACTTCTGGATTGCAATTTTGGGTTTCCAGATTCTCTGTGTTTTCTACGCCTTGGTGCTGTGCTTCCAAACAAAACACATCCAAGACGATCTCAGCGAAAGCAGCAATACGTTTCTTGCTGTGATCTGCATCTTCCAAGTAAACGTTATTGCCTTACCTATCAGTGCTATGGTACGCAACTGCGCTCTGACCCAATAATGCACAAACCTCAATGCTCACTGTACTTCGTAATCTGCACGGCTTCTATAGGTTCAAGACGATACGGAAGGTACGCAGTTCGAACGAATTACCTGGTTTGGCCACCTGCCGAATTCTCACAAAGGATTGCATTGTGCGCCCATTGCAGTGTTCTATTTCGTCCGTAGCTGCGCTCTTTTCTTGCAGAATTACACTGTCTTGTGCCTCATGTTTTGGCCCAAAATGTATCGCACCTTTACGGGCAGTGACGGCCTGCCTCCCATGTCGAGTTTGAGAGGTTCAGCAAACGGCGGCCCTACCATGAGGAGCGGCAATCGGGTTAGCTTTCACATACCGACCAATGACCAAATGGACAACAGCAACATTTCAACGCCATTCGGGTACGGAGCCAACGACGTTTCATCTAGCATGACTCGTGCAAGGATGAAATTCAAAGACAGCAGCGATCAGTTTGATTTTGGGAAGGAGAGAAGACCTACTTCCCCGATAAATGGTATGCGCAAGTTGGCTCCCGCTGAGGCGGCTGCTATGGCGAATCATTCCGAGTCAGGTATGATGATGGCAGCGCCAGGGGCTATGATGGCAGCCACAGCTGAGGCTGCTGCGAGGGCAAACGCTGCTTCGGCAGCTGCGCGGTCAGGCAGTGTGAGCTCAGGTGCAGGTGTAATGTCTCATGAGCCCGGTGCGGCGATCCCTGCTTCAGAGCCAGGTGTCGCTATGCCAGCCGCAGAGTCGACAGCACCTTTTGCAAGTCCTGAACCAGGATCGAAGACTGGAGCCCCAGAAGCAGGAAGGGCGACCATGCCAAGTGCTGAACCAGGTTCGATGAGAAGAACCCGAGAGGCAGGCAGCATGATGGCAGCAACTGTAGAGTCAGCTGCAAGAGCGAACAATGAAGCTTCCGTAAGGGGAAGCGTCGGAGAACCTGGGGCGTCTATGTCTGGCGAGCCAGGTGCAGGAATGTCTTTCTCCGAACCAGGGTCCGTGCCGTTTCTTCCTGGAAGAAGCAGGCTGCTGACGGCCTCTGCAAAGGCGGCAGCGATGGCAAACCATGCAGCTGCATTAAGGGCAAGCTCTGGAGAGCTAGGGGCATCTGTGGCTGCTGAGCCCGGGGCGGCGCTAACCCCGGAGCCGGGATCCTTGATGGCTACTCCTGGGAGGGACAGGATGCTGGCCGCGTCAGCAAGGGCTGCATCAACGAGAGATCAACCCGAGCCAGGTGTAGTTATGTCAGCTGAACCAGGATCAATTATGGTCAGTCCTGAGAGGGCTAGGATGTTGGCTGCTTCGGCCAGAGCCGCCTCTGCCTCGATGATAAACCACACTGAGCCTGGGGCCGTGACGTCGAGACAGGTGCCAGGTGAACCGGGATCTACTATGGCTACTCTTGAGAGGGCTAGGATGTTGGCTGCTTCGGCAAGAGCTGCCTCTGCCTCCGTGACAAGCCACCCAGAGCCGGGGGCAGTGGCGTTAGGAGACGTGCCGCCAGAACCAGGATCCAATATGGCTGTTCCTGTAAGGGACAGGATGTTGGAACCTACTGCAGAGGCCAAGGGGATGTCAAGCCACACCGTGCCTGATCCGGAGCCAGGCAACGCCTCGACAGGACCGTGTGCAGGAGAAGAGATAGAGGAAGGCAGGCTTATGGTTTCAACTGCTGCGGCTGAGTCTGCGGCGATCCCAGATGAAGCAGAGCTCAAAAAGTCCGCAAAGGCGGAGGAACCTGGAAGACCCGTTCAAACAGAGGACGCAACATCAGACCCAGAAGCTGGAATGGCAAGGCTCCCTTCACCACCCCTACGTACAGACACTGCGTTGGATACCAAAATACCAGCAAAACGTCGTTCCTTGCCAATGCATACAGAATTGTCAGATTTGGACGAAGGAAGACAAGTGAACCCAGGAATACAAGAGCAGACGCATGGCGGGATGTCTGATTCTGACAGTTCAATGCCACAGCACCCAGGAATGCAGCACGGCAGATTGGCTGGAATGCACAGAACAGAAGGAGGACAAATGGCACCTGGGAGGCAAGAGAGGGAAGGAATGCCCGTACACCCTGCTATGCAACATCACCGGGAGGCAGCGTTGTCTGACTTGGAAGCCAGGAGGCCGGTCGATCCAGCTATCCAAAGGCATTTCGGGGAAGGGGGCTCAGACTCAGAGGGAGGACCGCTTCTTCACCCAGGAATGCGAAATCATGTTGATGCAGGAATGTCTGACTCAGAGGAAAGAACACCTGCACATCCAGCTATGCAACGGCACATGGTAGAAGGATTTCCTAGGCCGGCGAGCGGAGTACCGTCCCATCCTGGAATTCAAAGCCAACGAATGCGAATGCAAAGCCCTGCAGAGGATGGCATGTCTGATTCAGATGATGGAATGCCATCTCACCCAGCAATGCGACCTAATGTGGAGGCAAGACTGTCTAGCCCAGAGTTAAGGTTGTCAGCTCACCCAAGATTGCAGAGGCGCATGAAGGCTGGGGTGACCCAAGGAATGCCAGGAAACCCGGCAATGCGACACCATATTGATGCGAGAATGCCAGACTCGGAGGATAGAATGCCTGTACACCCAGGAATGCAACGCCATTCGGAGGAAGGACTGTCCGACTCAGAGGAAGGAATGCAAGAACACCCAGCAATGCGAAGTAGCATGGACAGAGCTTTGCCGGACCCAGAGACACTAAGGCGGGCACAGCAACGAATGCAAAGCAACATGGGTAGAGGTATTCCCGGTTCAGGTGGGAGAATGGCAATACACCCGGCAATGCGGCAGCGCATAGATGCCAGAATGGCAGGCGAAGAAGTGCGAGGGCACCCTGGAATGCACAGGTCAAGTTCAGAGTCCAGAATGCCAGTACACCCAGCAATGCGCCGTCACATAGATGCAAGCATGTCAGGCTCAGAGGAAGGAGTTTCGGCTCACCCAGGAATGCAGAGGCACTTTGACGATGAAGGAGGCATGTCAGTACACCCAGCAATGCGTGGCCACATTGGTGCAAGAATGCCAGGCTCGGAGGAACGGGTGAGGGTTCACCCAGGCATGCACAGGTCAAGCTCGGAGTCCAGAATGCCAGTTCATCCGGCAATTCGCCCCCACACAAACGCAATAATAGCAAGCCCAGTGGCACGAGTACGAGTGCACCCAGGCATGCAAAGGTCGCACTCAGATGAAGGATTGTCGGACTCAGAGGAAGGAATACAAGGTCATCCTGCAATGCGACTCACGTCGAGCAACGAAACTCACAATTGGCTCTACCCAGGATTGTCTCGAGAGACTTCTGGCCCTGCAGAGGACACAGTAGTGGAACAGGTCGAGGCTGCAGTTGCCGTTGAGAAGGTCGAGAAGAGGTCTGAACCTGAAACGGATTCGTCCACAACAGTGGAAGAAGGGAGTGAGCCAACAGAAGCACTAGTCAACGGCGATGGCAATTCGTGTCCGTTGGATAATCAGAATTCGTCAACGACAAGGGATGATACTGATGCAGTGTCCTCTGCTGCTGAGAGTCATGAGGAAGTAACTGATTCGGAAGCACAAGGCGACACAAAAGACAACAGTCAGCGCTAGCTAGCTAGCTAGCGCTGGTTGGCCCAGTGATGCCATTCCCCTAAGTTTCTACGTACCGTTCGGTGTATGCTTCACATCACGGAATGAATCATACCCAGCGCGGGCTCTGTATGAAACCATGGCCTAATTGTTTGACAAGTTTCCTCTTGAAGCAAGTTCTGACGGTGCCTGTTTGCTTCACAGAATACTAACTCGAAATACGAAGTCTTGACCACAAATCGCAAATGCTGGTAAAAAACCACAAACCATTGGCTGGTATCTATACTAGTAGGTGGACCAACTACATGTATCTATGCTAGCTAGCTGGAATGTGTTGTTGGTGCTTGAGCAGCCGTCGATAGCTCCATCAATCATCAATCACTAACCCTTCTTCTGAAAACCTGCTGGCTACCGGTAGTTTAGAGTCTACTGTAGTGCCCTACTAGTCTAGCTGGTTTTACTGTGCTAGATGGCAGCTTCGTCTGGCTAGCTAGGTTGGACCAGCTATCGACCAAACATTTTTGGCAACAACCACATGTAACTCTACCCTACCATCGTGACTAGCTAGTGACTCCACTGTCACTCACTTTTCCACTTTGCCGTTCTGCTCTTTTCGACCCATCCAGCGCGCAATCGAATTCCGCAACAGCAGACATTCCAGCTCATCCACAATGAATTGTGACTTAAGTCCTTTCCAAGTAAGGTGACATGGAGTGACTATTGGGGTACGGAAAATAAGTGAAATGAACAGCGAAGGTCTGCATTGACATTTTACTGCATGGTAAGTGCTCGAATGAACAACGAGACGCTGTTCTTTGCAGCTTTGGTTGCGCTGACCATTGAGGAGAGCAATAAATAGGTCCTGTACCAGTGTTCTGGATTAGAGGGGCCAACTGCGCCTTTGAGTGATCTGTGGATTAGAAGAGCTGCTCCTTATTCTCACCATGATCCATAGAAGGGTTTCTGAAGAATTCGTGGTTCACAGATTTGTTGACCATCATTAAATCTTGATTCACAGTTGTGGACCTTTGCTGGTTGCTGGATCTTTTTGCGCGGAGAAGCATATATTAGTTAAATCAATAAATCGACTTTCCTGGACCAAAGAGACATGAGTATCAAGAGGAAGTACAAAATCAGATGATAGCGAATCGGATTCAAATTGCCACACAACTATCCCACTATTCCTGGTCCTCACAAAACACATGCTTTCTCGAAACAATCAATCGCGGAGCGGCAGCGTTAGAATCTGATATGCACAGAATTAGCTACTGTTGCTATGCCATACTAATAACTAGCTAGCCACCAGTTACCAGTACAACCTTCAAGAGCTGGAGACCATGAGCAACGAGAAACAGAAACACAACGAGCGGGAGCTTTCGTCAGCTTTGCAATCTGAGGAGCTCACTATGAATACCAGTGCTACATGTACCGGTACTAGTGACAGTGCTACCACGAGTACCGCTACTACAGATGTTTCTACTACTAGAAGTACTTCTAGCGGGCTACCAGTAGTAGGAGAAAAAAGCGTCTTGGCTGAACTTAAGCAATTCGATACACAAGTACAAGATAAGTATGATCAGCAGCATCAGTATGATCAGCAGTACGAGCAGCAGTACGAACAAGACAAGGAGAAAGAGCAACTTACAGAAGTCGAGGCTCTTAGCCGCGATATTCTCAGAGCGGAAAAACAAGAAGCCAAGACGCTAGTAGAAGACGGGGACATGTGTGCGACCTATAGGGACCCGGTCGCGGAGACAGCTCTTTGGCAAGGTGAGATCCAACCACTCCCACGCCCATCACCACGAGCTACTACTAGTAGTAGCAATACATGTACTGGTGGTGCACAAGCTGCAAGGGCTTCCGTTCCAGGTGCATTTGCTGTCGTGTCCTTCAGACCTACTCCCACCAGCGCGACTTTCGACGACCTTGATTACGAGAACGAAACGAGCCGAGATGCCACGACCACTGACCCCGATCAGGGCGCGACTGCACACAATACCCCCACCATTGCGGACCTCCCTTCTTCTTCTTCCGAACGTCAGCCGCAGATCTGTCCCTTAGCAGCTACCTTATCACCGGACGAAACCGCAACTGCCGCCGTCACTGTCGCATGCACACGATCCGTGGTCGGAACCAGCTATACCGCGGGCAGTAGTCGGGAACTTTCCCTAGGAGACGACCCAAGCAGCTCCTACACCAACTATGATCCAGAAGACCCCTCACGTTCCTCCATGGTCGCTGCCAATACAAGTATTACTCCTGCTCCACTCGTAGAGGCAAAAGTCATGCACGGAGACCAAGACACAAACGCAAGGCCCAAAGACTGGTTCTTCATTGCTCTCATGATGGCCATCATCTTGGTTCTACTCGTTGTTGCGGTTACCATGGCGCTGGCTCTGGCAGGCTTGTTCCAACAGGGCTGTTCTCCTGATTGCGACGACGAAGTCACGCCCTTTACTTCTTGGACGGAAGCTCCTCACAATGAATCCGTCGCGTCCGGCCAAGCCCAAGCATACTCAGGTGCAGGCGACACCAGCGCCGTCTTATCATCATCATCATCTACCGCATCAACAACGTCGTTGCTCGAAAAGATTCGTCAAGACGGAGTCCTAGAATGCTTGTATCTTACCATGCCAGGACTCTATCACCGAGATGAGCAAACAGGAGAAGTATCTGGCTTCAATTCCGAGTGGGTAAGTAGATCGAGCACCAAGCCTCAATGAGAGACGTCTTACCAACAACAAATGTCTCATATGAATACTAACCTGTGCGTTCGTTTTCCTCTCTCTCTCTTCTTGTCGTCCACGTATTATAGTGCAAGGCAGTTGCTGCTGCCATTATGGGTCCAAAGGACTACAAAATCGAGTACATTGACTTCAACCCCTACTCGGGTAACTTTGGGCAACTCAATCCTCTAGGGTCGACCTTCACCATGACGAGACACGTCAGAGAGGTAAGCTTGTGATGATGTGTCATCAGTTCACACTACTATTGCTTGTTGGCGCCCCAACTCATCCCTCTTGCTTTTTCTTGCCAATGAATCAATGGATTGCTACATGTACAGGCCCGCAGCAAAACCGCATCGTACTTTTCGGCTCCCATCTTTTATGATGGACTGCAAGTCGCCGGAGACCCATTCTTTGTGGAGTGTGTTCAAGAGAAGAACTTTCAATACGTCAACGAATGCGCCGACCTGAGAGCCTGTACCATGAGTAGCAGTGCTCATGGTGTCTTTACCTTGAGCAGGTTACCCAAACGACGGACCGTGCAGTCCGACTCTGTGGAATCTGTCATCCAAGGATTCGTCAATGGTTCTTGCAATGTCATGTTTGGCGAGAGTGCCAGTGTGGCGGAAAGCACTGTTCGAGGGTACGGATATCAAGGCAACTATACGATTGGTGACGTAATGTTCACCAAAGTGCCCAACTCGTTGCAGAGTCGAGGAACGGACCGTCGATTTGGAGACTTTATGAATGCGGTGGTGCAAGCTTTGTTTGTGGCCGAACAGCACAATATTACCAAGTCTACGGCTCATTTGTTTCCTCAAACGAGTGTGTTTGGCGACGAGTACAAGGACATGTTCCGTAACGCCCTTGCGGCAGTGGGCAACTACGGAGAGATTTACCACGAACACTTGGATGGATTCCTACCCCGCACGAATATCAACCAGATCAACGACAACAATAAGGAGGAGGGGAGGAGAGTCGTACCGATACGGGTCTTTTGTACTCGTACCCCATTGGACGAAGCCAGCCGACAACGGAAAATCATGAATTGGGTCCCAACCTGCGTCGTGTCTTGGAGAGAGGCCATTTGATTTGTGGAGTGCGCACAAAATCCCGTCCTGGATTTGCTGCTGTGGGCAATATGGATGCATCTTCATTGTCGTCGTCTTCGTCTTCATACAGCGGATTGGATGTCGATTTTTGCCGTGCCGTGGCGGCAGGATTGTTTGGTGGTGACGGGACGGCAGTGGAGTTTGTAGACTTGAGCAGTGGCAGTGAGGGGTACGAGAAACTGTCCAATTTGGAAGTGGATGTGATGGCAGGTGGCACGTGGAATTTGGAGAACGATGTGCAAGAGGCGAGTACTGGCCTTGGGTTTGCCTTTTCCCAGCCGTATTTTTATGGGTATAGCGAAGAAGAGGACAATCTGTGCCTGGTGACCCGTGAAGACGATCAAGACTGGTTGACGTTTGTGTTTTGGACCGTTGCGGCCACCATTCATGCCGAAGAACATGATATTACCCAAGAGCTGTACAGCGACATGCCAACCATTTACGTGTACGGTGCGAGTTTGGATCGTATGTTTCAAGATGTCATATTTTCGGTTGGTAACTACGGTGAGATTTACAATCGCAGCTTGCAAGAGTTGATCCCTCGAAGAGGCCGCAACCGGTTGAACAGTGGCATGCATCCTGGACCCCAGCACTATCCAATGCCAGGGTTGATTTGATTTGATTTGATTTGATTGAATTCATAGCAATTCCATAGATTATAGACCACGATATTTTTCTGGAATGGATTTTGTAGCCAATTGTACACTGTCACAAAGGCAGAGGGCAAGTGCAACTTGTGAGGCACAATCATGCTGGAGTGTCACTCCAGGTTTCTATGTTCCACGTTGTAGTAACTCCACGATCTTTCACTTTCCACGCCAGTTGGCTGGGACATTGGTCCGACATTGGTGACGTTTGTCCCTAAATGAGAACGCCATCTGGCTAACGCTTCTGGGGTGTCTTTTTCAAAGAGAACACTTGTTCTCTTTGCATTGATTGATAAGATGATAAGATCCATTCATTGCAGCGTTCTCAAATCAATGCTATCCAACGAAATCCAAGCTCACAAAAAGCACGACAACCAACAGCAAAAGCAAAAGAAGCAAGATGAGCAAGCACTCTAGCATGAACGGTCAGCGCAGCAGTCCAGCGTATGACTTTGAAGGGCACTATGGGGGAGGCTTGGCCAGAGGCACCAGTCCTCACCGCAGTGCTTCCACTGCTGCTAACACTAAAGCTGGTAGTAACACTACTAGTGGTACTACTAGTAGCAGTAGAAAGACACCTTCGCATCACCATGGGCATCCCGCGTCTTCTCCGCGCAAGACGCGCTCTTTGTCTCCTTTTGGCGGTGGCGGGAGAAGTCACCGAAGCAGTCACGCCAACAACAGCAGTGTGATTGTGTGTCACGAGTCGGCACATGCGGTCGTTTTTAGGGACGTTGTACGTTTGGCGCGTAAAACCATTCAAGAAGAAGAAGCTTGGGATCATGAAGCCCTGGAACATGACAATGACCATGATCATGATAATGAGGAGGAGCACAAGTCTACTATTGATAGAACCAACTTTGTGGAGGAATCAGGAGCCAGCAGTTCCAACTCCAGTGAAGAAAATGAAGAATCTGCTCAGGCTTACAAGGCTCTCAAAAACTCCATCAGGACTAGTGTTAGAGTCTCTGGGGGAAGCATCAGAGAGGACAAGGCCACCATTCAAAAGGAACTCAACACTTTGGCTCATGAATTGGTGCCAGAAATAAAAACTGTCACTCTGGACCTCAAAAATGGAGTTTCTGAAAAAAATATTGAAATTGAAGGTTTGCATGCTCATATTGCTCCACTGCAAGATCTAGAATGGAACCAAAAGACACGCTTTGAGCCTCTTATTGGTGGTACCAGTACTGAAAACAATCCAGATGAAAACAATGAGTGGACACCAGCCGAACAGGAAGTCTACAACATGCTCCAAAACCAACAAGCTAGTGTCAAAACCATACAGAAAAATGAATGGCCTTCCTTTCTACAGAGATTCATTACTCCAAAGACACAAAACGGCAATGTCAAGGCTCCTGCCAAACATGATGATCTCCCTCCTTCAGAACAAGACAATAGACCCTTCAATTCTTTTGTCACTTCCACTTCATTACTGCCAGAACTGGGAAAGAAAATGAGGTGCTATGGATCAGACTTGTCGTATCCTGTTGGAGTCGTCTTTGCTTTGCCATCGTTTGACACACCCGAACAAGAAGCAACCGCCGTTCAGGAAACCGAAACATGGGCATGGCCTGCAGGATATGCTGCCAAGACGGAATTCAACATTGATCATAGAGGAAGACTCATCAATGGACGTCAAGAAGCATTGGTATCACTCCAACAAATGAGACAATACAATCACCAGTACGTACATGAAAACGATCATTACATTGCCGGGCGCATCATCAAGGGAGGTTTCAAGGTCGTCCCCTACAATGAATGCTTCTTGCGTGTTGGGGGGTGCGATCGACTGGTACAAAACAAAAGCGTCGTCACGCAACAAACACAACAACGATCCCTACAAAAGGGCTGTGGACTCTTTGTCGCACTTTTTATTCGATCCACAAACATGGGAGACATTGTCAATCTATTCCGAACACGCGCCAGGATTGCTCATGTGCTGGGGGAAGAACACGTCAAGGATATTCCGCTCCTTTACATTCATCACGAAGTCGGAGTACGGGTCTTTACCAAACAACTACAGCACTTGTTCTGGAAACAGGCATCTTGTTGGCTACAGCCATACGTCAATCCAACCTACGCGTTGACCGTACGATACCACGAAACCAACGAAAAGTCCATCGAGTACAAACTCGATGAATTGATGGAACTCAATGACGGCCTCAGAGACGTGCTCTCCCATCACGAACTCGCCAAAATTGCCGGAGGATTTGGAGTTTCCGACCAGTCATTCTTGACACTCTTGACCACACAGCCCGATTTTCAACATGTACACGACATTATGCAGCAAGGATTTGCGGCTGCCATTCGAGCTGGAGATTTCTACACGGCACGACAATCACTCATTCTCTATGCATTGGCCAACACGAGTCCCGACAACAACAAGAATATCGACGCGATGCAAGAGCAACTACAGGGAGTTCCCGCCACCATGTACGTCAATCTGTCCGTCTTGCACTCCAAGGATGTTGGAAAAAATGTCAAATTGCCGAAACCACTAGCGACCAAACGATGGAGGAGAGCGGTAAGCACGGCGCATGCTATAGTTAGTGAGTGAGTGAGCCACCAACAAAACCGTCAACTCACTCTTCTGTCTTTGTACTTTTGTTGTTCGGTTTCTGCTTTTTCTCTGTGCTACAGACCAACTCGGATGGACTGCTTGTGGTACTTGGCGCGGCACAGATTCTCAAAACTATTTCTACAACAAGTGCCAAGCGACGCACGGAAGAGAGCTACGAGGCGGTCGAAGAGTAAGTCAGTCCGATGCATACTCTCTCGAGAGATTCATGTCATGTATATTCGCATCTCATTCCAAACGCTTGCTCTGTTCTATCTGGCTCTTTTCTTGCAGATGGGTACACCATGGGGAAGAATCGGTAGCCTTTCGGGTCGCATCGTGGAGAAATCAACGAGCCGATGAGGCCGATTCCAACATTGCAATGTCCGGCGATAGCAAATTCTGGGCGTTTGTCACCGACAAATCCGTACACAATAGGCGCAAATTCGCGCAGCAGCTGCGAAAGGCCGCACCGGCAGACAACTTTACACCCGTGGGATTCTTGAGAGGCATCTACGATATTGTCGATCACATGCATTCGCCCTGCATGCGCTTGGAATTGCTACAATTCATTTTGGCGTTGGACAATCGATACTCGGTGGAACTCATCAAGGAGAGCATCCAGCTCGCAGCCACTTGCTTGAGTCTCGTCCCCAGCAACTAACTACCGACGTGGTGCCACAGGGTGATTGAGTAGTCACTGTTCTTGAAGTCTGGCAAGCAGGCGGAAGACAACCACCGGCCCCCAAGTTTTCCATTTGCATTATATAGTCATTTATTTATAAACCGTAAGCACTCCATGATCCCACCAATTCAAAAGCATAGTTAGAAAGCTTGCAACTTCAACGAAGTCGATTGGGTCCCTTCAGATACAACCATGGATAACGTTTTGCAGCCCAACTCGGGCTGAACATGGCAGCCAGCCATGACACAACAAAGAAGCCGAGACAAAACGAGGGGACGGGCCCTAGCTGGAAGAGTCTTCTCCTCGGAAGGTCCTTCGGCGAGGACGAAGCAACCAGAAAGTCATGCAAGCCCCATGCCCACAGTACGGAAGCACCCATCTCGACAGCGAAAAACGAATGACAACGACAGGTCTTTGTCGGATGCCAACGACAGACGTGGGGGGCAGAAGAACTACTGTACCGGTACCTTTACATGCACTCAAAATCTTCAAACTTATTAATTAGACCGATATTTCGTCACTGGCATCATTGTAATGCAGAAATATGTCATCTTCGTTGCAGCTGCTGTCATCCGCAAAGTCCGGAGCAGTCTTCTCCGTAGTCCTCTCGCTCTCCTCTGAAATGGTTGGCCCTTTCCCGTGTTTCAAACTGATGTCTGCTGACTCATCTTGATTGGGCTCGTCATCCTTGGAGATCCCAAGGCGTGTGTTGTGTCTGTCAACATAGGCTGATAGCTGCGGTATTAGTATTGGCCCGAGGATTTGTTGAGTGGGATACCATACAATGATGGGAAGAATGTATAGTGCCAAAAGAGGGCTGTTCTCGTAGATAGAGCTGATGAGAGGAACTCCAATGGCAACGGACTTGAAAGAGCATCCAAAAAGGCCAGTTACGTGGAGAGAAGGTTGATCTGGGAAGAATAGTCTCAACAGGACCCAAGAGAAAGCCATGGAGGATATGAGGAAGCCCACAACCAGGCCCACCATGGCCATGGTTTCGCCAGTTGTAATGATTGTTTCAGCGGCAAATGTCTTGCAAAAGACTGTATAGACAATGTAAACTCTCAAGTACACCTGCAACTTGACTCTCTGGTACTTGTGTGCCTCGACAAAGGTGACAACAGCCTTGGAGGACCAACGAAGGGCTTGAGCTAGAAGGAAGGGAAGAAGGATTCGTACAGCAATCTTGAGAATGATTTCCAGCTGGTTGACGTCGCCTTCCACACCTAGATATACCAGAATCAATAGAGGACTAAAGACGGCACCCAGCATGGCACCACCAGCGGTGATGCAAACGGCAGAAGCTTCGTCACCCTTGGCTGCAAGCGAGAAGGTGAAGACGGTTCCTGGAGGAGGTGAAAGACAAGCACACATGGCAATGGCATCTGCCACGCCCTTGTCGAGAGCATTGGCCCTGATCAGGAGCCGTGTGACACCAAACACAATGGCCGATAGGAATAGAAAGTTGTAGGTTTCCACAAAGGTATTGAAGCGCACACGTCTGATGGCAGTGGAGATTTGCTCTGTCTTGAGTCCAATGCCTGCATTGAACATACTTACCATAACACAAATCCAAGTAGCTGTCACTTGGGGATGCAAGTATTCTGCACCAAGGGGAGGATACAACTTGGCCACGCCAACTGCAATCATCATCAGGATGATGAACTCGTACTCTTTCCAGATTCTCTTGACTCTTTCAAAGCAGCCTGAACTCTTCGCATCTTCTTCTGATGATGACAAAGAAGTGCATTGCTTCTCTTCAGGGGATGCTCCAACTTCGATCAGGGGTGGTGGTGTTTGCAGCCCTTCCACCTGCTCACTGCAGGAGAGCCCCGCCTCGATATCAGTGGGTTGGTTCTTGGTTTCAGCAGCCATCATACCAACTTTGTCTTCAGCTTTCGTGCACATGGTCAAAGATAAATAAATTATTATGAGAGGTAGCTAGCTAGCTGCTAAACTAGCTGCTAAACTAACTGATGTTTCCTGGATTCCGAAGATAAAAAATGATGCAGATCAAGTAAATCAACGGTCCGGTGCATGTTCCATGCAAGATGCAAGATACTACTGTAACATGCAATACGTGTAGGGAATAGGGCACACTCATCAGCTGCACACTCCCAGTTTCCCAATACCAATAGGGAGCTCAATGGGGTCGCGTGGCGCCTATGCATACTAGCTAGTATGGTACCTGGTAGGGTAGTCAGGTCATAGTGCAACAACGTACCGGTCCTCTAGTGGACTAGCTAGTATCCCGTTTTCATAGTGTTGGCTCATGGCAACCGAGAATGGATTTAGGATTCCAAATGAAACATCTGTGAGACATTGATCCGTGGATCAATTCAAAGCGGAAACGTGGCCTCTCCTTGCTTGCCATAATAATGGAAGGCGATGTGGTGCGTGTTCGAGTGACGCTGCTTTTAAAACGTTTATTCCGATGTGCTCTTTCACTGTTCCGCTCGGCAACAGGAATTAGCAGCAGCTGAGTGGAAAGCTGAGGAACGAAAACAGCTTGATCATCCAGCAATCGAGAAGAAGTACGTGTAGAGTCTAGCTGCAGAAGTTGAGGAACGACGGATTTTGCATCGACGTGTCAGGTCAGGTTTGGGAGGGGTACGGTATGGGCAGGAGTGAGTTCAACTGGTACTGGAACACTGGAACCTTCAATCTTCATGAGAGCACCACGTGGCGGGCATATACTACAGTAATGAGCTACTAGCTGTAAACTGTACAACATGTATGTTTGGGCTGGAATGGTCGGTTATTAGTTGCACTAGTTGCACATGGATCTTTCTCCCTTTTTCTTGGTCTCTTCCGCGGCAATAAGTCAGCGGGAGCTGCGATACCTCGGATAGAAAGACAAGATAGAAGAAAAGGATCGATGTTTGAGATTACTCCTTCCTTCAAAGTAGCCCTGAGCCCGGTGGTCGCAACAAGTACACCTCATAATTAACCTTCTTTTTATTTAACAGCCCTGGCGAAACACCCGACCTGTCGTGTGTTGCCGCCCGCTAACTATAATTTACAGCTGTCAATCTCCTTATGTAACTCTAACTTTAGAGCTTTGCTGGCTTATTGTGTTTGTTGCGACTAACCTTGATAATGCATGAATTTATTCCTACCCCTAATATTGTAGGTTGGCTTGTGCTATCTCATCCCTAATGTTTTTGGCTTCACCCGAAAGGAAGAGGAAAGCAGGAAATTCGGCTTTTTTTCAGCATTCGTCTCCTGTTTCCTCAGTTGCTTGCTACTGGACCTTATGACGAATACATGCACAACCGAATATTGTCATTCCAGCCATTGTAGCCCGCTACGTACAGGTACATAGCGACAGTGTCAACAGAACACGAACACACTCAGGTTCACGCTTACTTGCTACAACTCCATTAACTGGTACCTTGCATTGGATCTTATGAAGAATACTGCACAACCGAACATGTGTCAATCCAGCCATCGTGAGCTAGCTCGTAGAGTTCATGCATCGATCGGTACAGTGCAACATGTACCGACACTCCAGGTTCGCTTGCTCGCTCCCGGTTACCTCACATTGGATCCCCTTATGACGAAATACATGCACAAACACCGAACATTTGTATAATCCAGGCCAGGTAGCGGTACCGTACAGTTACATCGGCGACTGTGTCAACAGTACCGAACACATCAGGTTCCGCTTACTGGCTACACTCCGTTACGCGTTACTTGGCATTGGATCCTTTATGACGAATACAATGCACAACCGAACATTATGAAAATTGTCAATCCAGCATCGTACCAGCTACATAGATTATCGATCGGCAGTGGCCAACAGTACCGAAACACTAGTTCGACTTGCTCGCTACACCGTTACCTCGCATTGGATCCTTATGACGAATACATGCCAAACCGACTATTGTTAACCAGCCATTGTAGTCGGTACTGTACAGTTACGATCTGGCGACAGTGTCCAACAAGTTACCGAACACTACTCAGGTTCGCGCCTTTTGCTTAGGCTACACTCCGTTCGCTGTATCTTGCATTGGATCCTTATGAAGAATAGTACATGCACAACCGAACATTATGATATGTATCCAGCCATTTTAGCCAGCTGCGCTATAGCAGTACGCAATGCAACAGTACCGAAAGTTCGGCTTTGCTCGCTACGGTTACCGGTACCTCGCATTGGATCCTTATGACGAATACATGCACAACCGAATATTGTCAAGCTAGCCATTGTAGCCAGTTACCGTAGAGTTACATCAATCGGTGACAGCGCCCTGAGCACTGTTCCTGCAGGAAAATGGATATCAACACAGAAATCACCACCAAACCACTAGGAAATAACAAGGAGGGATGAATCCGGTCAGATGATCCACTCTCCTCTGTGCCTGTGTGTTGTCGTGTAGCCTCCTTCGGTTGACGGATGTTGCCATTCAATGACTCGATGATGATTCGTTCAGGAGTTAACAGAGCCTAGCGGTAGCCTCTCCTCTTGCTGTTATCCAGAGCGATCGATCGTTCGTTGGAGGATTTGTGCATACAGGAAAATGGATACCGACACAGGAATCACCACCAAAATAGTAGGAAATAACAAAGGAGGGATGAATCCAATCGGAGGATTCATTCTCTTGTGTGTTGTCGCCTCCTCCGGTTAACTGTTGCCTTTTCAATGACTCGACGACGTTCAGGCTGCTGATAGGGCTTGAGCTAACAGTCTCCTCCGTAGCCTCTCCTCTCTTGTTATCCGAAGCAATCGTTTGTTCGTTCGTTCGAAAAGACTCCACAATGGTAGTTCCTCGGCCGTCGGCAGTAAGAGAACAGAAAGTAAGAAATAGATATGCTTTTCTCTTCTCTTCTGATACTGAAGAAAACCGGCGACTTAACCTTGTTCTCCAACTTGGCCGTCATGGGCCGAGAACTGACTGCCATCCCATGGTCCATAGGATTCAATGAGGGATGGTTTTCCAATCTACACCGGAGACGACCGGCTTGAGTGAGGCTTGGATAACAGAGGTGCGACCAATCGATTCGATTCGAATAATTAAAACAACTCACATGTTGACGGCCGAGCTTGGAATTCTCTCCTGAATACCATAGAAATCCAATGAGGGAGAGAAGTCAGTGCTGTACCTTCAATAACACTATTGATAATACTGTATGCTTACACCATTGCGATCGATTCGATCCATCGGCCGATTGGATAAAGCACTCACCATTGTTGTCAGCCAAGCTTGGATTTCTCTCCTGTTTACCATAGGAATACAATGAGGGAGAGAAGTCAGTGCTGCGCCTTCAATAATAACACACTTTTATTCCACGAATCAATCTAAAAATTTCGAAAGGGAACTTGTTACTTAACGATACACATGACCGTTGATTCTGCAACTGAAGTGCGGGTACACTAATTTACACAGTAAACGCGAGCCAATCGATTTCAGAGTGCAACTGAGGGGGTAACCAAAAGGTGCGCCGTCTCCTTGAGACGGAACAGGAAACAGGAAATACCAAAAAAGGGGGTGAGGGCTCAGGCAGATAGACTGCCGAGGTAAAGGGGTTGAGAACTCAGGCAGTTTACCTGCCAAGGTTAGAGACACCCTTGATCAAGATATACTGCGCAGCCAAAAGGCCTCCCATCAGTCCTATTGCTAGGTCTGGAGTCTGGAGTATATCGCTAATCCGGAGAGTGATTGATGAGAATAGTCTTGAAAAAGTACGATACGTTGGCCCTTTTAGATTGTCTCGGATTGGCTGGAGATTCTTCGCTCCAGGGATTCATTGTTTCCGTCCTTCGTAACCCCTTCACCATGACCACGCAGTTTGGGGAAGCGGTTAGCTAGACTACCTCTTGCAGGGTGACATCGAATGCCCAATGTTGTGATCTTTGAAACTCTTCGGGGTGATCTGGACTTACCCGGTGAAAAACCGGTTCAGCAGATCGGGTGTTTCTTAAAAACAAAGAAGTATCCACGAATGAGACGACGGGAGGATCTTTTGTTTGGGGTGCACACAACAGATCGAGGTGCTCGAAAGATGCCGGTACCGGTGCCAGGTACCATCAACATACAGCAGCACAATCACAGCAAGCTCAGGTTCTTCTATAGCTATAGATAGCTAGGCATTGGCTATCTAAATTGTCTTTGTACATCTCCATCAACGGCATCAGGAGGCAGTTGCAACACTGATAAGGAACCATGAGGCGTCTGGCAGGCAAGCAACCGCGGCGAGCCACCCTGGTGTCGAGTTCTGTTCGTACTATTAGTAGACCTTCCCTAGCGTTACCTTTGGAAGCGGCGCTGCGAGACTTGGAACGTGACTTGAACGAGTATGCGAATGAGTACACTGCACTTTCAACCACTGAAGTCAGGCAAGTAGAAGTTCAGGAACAAACAGAGCAAGTTGAAGCTTTGCAAGGCTCACGGGATACCTCTACCGGTACTGGTACCGATACAGCGAAAGATCCCAATGGCAGTAAGTTGGAAGAAATGCAGACAGGTTCAGCTTTCAGGATTTCAAATTCAGCTCTAGGGGCAGCTGCACCTGAACATAGCTTGAGAGTGTCAGGTGCAGAAGATGCTTTTTTATCCACAAGAGATAGTCAGTTCCGGGTGGCAATGTTCCGTCCAGAACAGCGCGGGACAAGTCTGATAGAACTCTTTACCAAGCTGGTCTGGTTTTCTCAGACACACAAATGGGTCGACCCACTCAACATGGCCCTCATTCTAGTCTGTCTCCTTGCTACATTGGGGGCGTTTTGTCTCCTCACACTGAACCAAGCAGATACCGAGGAGAACGTGGGGTTCTTTACTCCCCTTTGGGCCAGAATACTATGCGTCATCCTTGCAGTACTCTCGGGATTGCGCCCCTTCGCCATTCTCATTCTAGGACTGCCCCTCTTGCGACAAACAGAGATCACCATGACAATCCTGATCGACAACCTCGTATGGATTTTTTCAGTTGCCATTACATCTTATTCGGTGTTTCATGTGCATGAAAATGACCCTGTCGATGAAGGAAGAATTGCTCTTGTGGGATTCAATTCACTGGTATTTGCCATTCGGCTCAACACTCATATTGTCCACAATGCGGCAGTTTCTTCCCTCATGATTCATCGCCGTCCCCGTCATCGTCATCAATCCAACAAGGAGGAAAGCAGCTTGCTTATCCCTGTTGACGAAGTCTGTACCCGCATCCAGCAAGCAAATGGAATTTCAACAAAATACAAAACCATTCTATTGGGAATGACAGAATTTGCAGATACTGACCACGATGGTCATTTGACCCAAGGAGATTTCTTAATGTTGTCACGGGATATTGACACGCTCTTCCTGAGGGCATTTATGGCAGGCGACAAATCAAATGCAAATGGAAAGGAACTCAGGGCGCAGCTTCAATACCAAAAAATGGCACCTGTCTGTGGAGTCAGTGTCCACCAAGTTGAGGGAGGATTGCCTTATGATCCAGACGATGATGAAGATGATGAAGGTGGTACCATTTTTTCCACCATGGTTGTGGCCATTCGACAGCTCTTTCAGGCACAACAATTCTTGTCCTGGGCTGCCATGTTTATGCTATTTGTCAGTGCCATGATCACTCCCCTATTCGATTTTCTCGTCGGTGTCATGGTCAATTGGGCCATTGAAATCGCAAATGAGCAAATGGACAATCAACACAATTTCATGCTCGGACTGTGGGGGGTATTCGTCATCTTTTTAGCGGACGAAGTCGTCTTTTACATCCTATCCGCCATGGTCGCAAAAATGATTGCCCACGCCTCGAAAAGAATTCAGAGTGAAATTGTGCACGGTGTCTTGGATGGAGACGCCTCCTTTGAACGCAAGCACAGGCCTGCTTCGTTGGCCAATGTCTTTACGGCTGGAATTGCCAAGCTCGAAAACGTGTGGGACTTTTGTTTGATGGAGGCTGTCTTCTCCTTCTTTAGTTTGATCTCGGCGCTCTTCTTTCTGAGTCTCTACAATTTTGGATACACAATCTTTGTGCTGACGGCCATTCCATTCTTGGCATCCCTGAAACCCATGGAAACCCAAGCCGTCACGGCCAGTGACCAGTCCGATCAAGCCAATGCAGAACTTTTTGGTCGGTTCCAAAATACAATTCATCTCCGTCGAGCTGCTCAGGTCGGCAATCGACGAGACTTTGTCGCAAACCGATTTCACAATCCACTTCTAGAAGAAGCGGCCGGACACAACTTTTGGTCATGGCTTTGGAGCTATGTTGTGGTGGCCGTGTACAGCACCGTGGGATCCGCGCTGTACATGGTCACAACAATAATCTTTTTATTGCTCCTGTCCAAGGGAGAAATTGATTCGGGAGAGTTCTTTGCCGTAACTTCGTTTGTGTACGGGGTCTTGGAACCGATTGAAGCTCTAGGACGAGTTTCGGGACAAGTCGTGCAGAATGCAGGGGCTGTGCGGCAAGTACAACGAATCCTCGATGATGCAAGGAAGAGTGGCAGAGACGACACTGGCAATAAGGCAAAAAACGCCAACCCGCAGACGGAGCAAGCTCTGACTCTGAAGAAGCAATTGGAGTTTGACAATGTAAAGTTCTCGTATACGCCCAATGGACCTTTGATTCTGAAAGGTGTGTCCTTCTCGATCCCTGCTGGATCGTACGTGGCCGTTCTTGGTTCTTCTGGGTCTGGAAAGTCCACTCTGTTGTCCTTACTCATGGGCATTCAAACGGCGCAAGAGGGCTCAATCCGAATGGATGGTACCGCCATTTCGACTGTGTCTCTTGATACGCTTCGAGATTCTCTTGCGGTTGTCTTCCAAGAGACGTTTGTTTTGGACGGCACAGTTTTTGACAACATATCCTTTGGCTGCAATGCAACAATGGAGCAAGTAGTTCATGCGGCCAAGCAAGCGAGTGTCCACGAGGTGATTGAGAAACTCCCCGAAAAGTACGACACAATACTAGGAAAAGAATCCGCGATCAGCATGTCCGGTGGCCAGTTGCAACGTATCTGTGGCATTGCTCGAGCTGTAGTTCAGGGAAAAGCCTTGCTCCTGCTAGATGAAGCAACAAGTGCACTTGATGCCATTACAGAACACAAGTTCATTGAAACGGTCGAGCAGCTACGAGATGAGGGTTTAACGGTGATCAGCATTACCCATCATCCATCGACTGCTCGGAATGCTGATATGATTTTGGTGCTGGACAAAGGAATCGTAGTCGAAACGGGGGCCTATTCGGAACTCATTGACGGAGGTGGCCTATTCTCGAGATTAGCATCTGCGTCATAGGAGCCCAAAGATACCGTACCATACTACATGTAGAATTCGAGATCCTTCAATTGCCGATCTGCAAAACGACAATCCCATAAACAAGTGCTTCTTTTGTCCCACCTAGACGGACGTGTCAGTTAATGCAAAGCAGCAAACGAACGGGATCCAATATACTCTCGACCCAGCAACGAAGGAACTCCGCCGCCTCTCGCTCGTCCAGGGGAAACGCTGCACGTCCTCAAAAAAGCCTCGTGGCAACTTGCTTTCCAAATAGGAAAGTGGAACTCTGAACCAGGCAAATCCAGCTCGGGAACCTAATCGTTGCAACATGCATACCAAAGCAAGCACCTGTAGCCCCCGCTTTCCTGAGGGAGCCAAGGCAACCCAAAAGATCTCTCGATGCACCGGAGCGAGCACACGTTCCCACAAAGCTGCGATGTGAAATAGCAGAACGATTGTGTGCTTCGCAGTCAAGTTGCAGGATTTCCCCCAAGCCACAAACTTGGGAGTACTTTATCAGGCTCGACAATGTGCTTGCTCTTCCGGATTCGATTCGTTCGAAGCTTTCATCTCGCTCACACAGCTTATAGCCGGAGGTGAAGCAACCGGAATGCTTTGGTTTGCCTGAACACGATTGAAAGCGGTCGAGGCATTGATATCAATGCTGAGTGAGCATCAAGAAGAGATGATGTCAATGCAGAAGACTCAAGAATGACGCCGGTCGCCGCGAACAGGAGCAGCTGCCTGTTACTATAGTCGTAGTGATGCTATTGTTGCGCGTATTGCAGCAGGCAGAGTTGAAAGCTGCGAACTGTCATGTTGACGCTTCTGAAGGGCATACACACAGCCTGGCCCGTCAGCAGAATTTAAAACTACCGAAGTCTTCCAGAGAGACGATCACCTATTTTATCAACTCATAATATCTATGGCCCCACACGCAGCCCTCCATGACGTTACGGCTGCACCAACAGTTCTCGATCCATGGAGCTCACAGCCGTCTATCCATCCTTCAAGTATGATGCCAACATATTTTGCAGGGCCTCTCGTTTCACCGGCTTGGTCAAGTACGCGTCACAGCCAGCCGCAAGACAAGCCTCTTCGTCTTCTCTGTAGGCAGCCGCTGTGAGGGCCACCACGGGTATTCTCCTATTACCGGTACTAGCTTCGCTGCTTGCTACTCCCCGTTCGATTTTTCGGATCTCCTGCACCGCTTCCAAACCATCCATGACAGGCCTGCACGTGCACAAGACGAAAGTGAAGTGAAGAATGAGAGAACGGAGACCAGTGGGGTACGAGTACAAACAGTCCATCGCATAACGCTTACATTTCCTTGTCCATCAGAATCAGTTGGACCAACGGATCCGACTGAAATTGAGACAGTGCTTCTTTCCCATTCATGGCTGTGACCGTTTCATATCCCAGCTTATTGACCATCCGAACTGCTAGCTTCAGGTTGACACGATTGTCGTCCACCACGAGGACCTTGCCAACAGGAGCAGATGTTGAGGATGCCGAGGACTCCTTGGTAGTGTCGTTGCTGGTGGTGGTACCAGATGCGGGAGGTTTTGCCTCACTCTCAGTCGCAGTCGACGTTGTTGTCAGGGATTGTCGTAGTTGTTCCTCGGCATTTGCATGCGAGGGCGGTGACTGGATGGTGCATTTGTCGTGTTTCAGTAGCTGACACGATGTGGCCTCATTGACAGGGCGATAAGGCAAGGTGAAGGAAACGGTGGTGCCATGATGGATGGTATGAGTTGAGGACCACAGCTGCATTTCGCCACCCATCAACTCCACGAGCCGTTTCGAGATCGTCAAGCTGAGGGATGCAAGAAAACGCGATACGTATAAGCGGCATAATACCCTTGTAATGCTTGGTCCTGACCCACAATCAATTGCCTTCACTTACCCGAGTCCCGTCCCTCCTAGTTCATGTGAATCTCGGCTGGGATGCACCTGAGTGAAAGCTTCGAAGATGGACTGTTGTTTTTCTTCTGGGATGCCAACACCATTGTCAGAAACGGAAAACTCCATCATCTTCCCCGATGATGAACCTCCTTTCCCTTGTACCAACTTCACCCCAAATTCGACTTTCCCGTTAGAGCTCCCCTGAATGCCAGTGAATTTGAGAGCATTGTTAACGATATTGAGCAATATTTGTTGGATTCGTGCAGGGTCGCCCATGACCTGGGCAGTTTGGCAGATGGAATTACCCCCACTGCTGTGATCCAGGAGGGTTTGCTGACTTGCGCAGCTAACATCCATAAGCTGGGATGTCGAGTTGTTGGTGAAGTCCAGTTTGACCTTTTTTCCTGGCATGAAATTTTCTTGAAATACACTGGCACTTTGCCCCACCAAAGCCAAGAGTTCGCTTGGGGAATAGGGTTTGTCGTCAATTTGCAGCTGTCCGGCTTCAATCTTGCTAATGTCTAGAATATCACTAACGACTGCCATGAGCAGTTCCCCACTTTGTCGAATCGTCTTGAGATAGTCCCTGTTTCGTTCGCTAAGAGCTTCTGGTTCCATGAGAATCAGATCCGTGTAGCCCATGACAGCATTGAGGGGAGTACGAATCTCATGACTATAACATGGAGACATGAGAGGTAAGCAAAATCGTTTGTGAGTTGGTTGCGAGTCTGCCAAGGACAGTACTACACTACAGCTCGACAATGTATTGACTGCACGCCACATGGTACTCACCTCATGTTGGCCAAGAATGCAGTTTTGAGTCTATCCATTTCTTGGGCTTGCTTTAGCTCTGTGATATCTTGTACAATGCCGACCGAGTAAAGTGGTAGTCCCGTCTTGGGATGATACTCCGTACGACAAATTTCGTTGACCCATCGGATCTCTGGTTCCTCTCCGTTGCCTTGAAACAGCAATCGGTGCATGATGTTGTATGACTTTTTGGACTTGAGTGAGTTTGTGTAGGCATCGTCGACAAACTTTCGGTCATCGGGATGAATGGCGTCTAGAAAGGCTTCGTAGGAAGCCCCGAATCGTTTAGGGTCAACTCGAAAGATATCAAATACCCCGTGTGACCAGTAGAGAGCGTTGTTGGTCAAGTCTAGTTCCCACTGTCCAATCTTGGCTAGGTCTTGCGACTCAACAAGACGCCTCTCCTTGTCTTGAAGGATCTTGAGTGCCTTTTGCTGTTCCTGGTTTACCCAGCGACTGGAGACAACTCGTCCAAGTCTCTGCGCCAGGCATTGGAGTGTATGTTCGTGCTGGGTCTTCTGGTCGTTGTTTCTCTGACTGCTGAAGCTAAGGCCTCCTCTGTCTATTAGGTTGAGAGCCAACGGTTGTACTTGAAAGACATCAATCTTTCCCAAGGGTCTCCCAGTCTCAGCCGTCCGCTCCCCTCCTGAATTCTGGTCCTTGCCTCGACACGGTGGAGCAGGAATATCCACGGTGATCCAAGGTGGCGTGGAAGCTCTATTTAGCCCTAACCCTAAAGTTGATGGGTGATCAAGAGAAGATGCGGAATCGTCCTTGGTTTGCCCATGGTGGCTCCAGAACTCTCTGCAGGAAACCGTTGGTTGACTACTAGTACATGTAGTAGCGTCGCTGTAGTCATAGAGAGAGATGCGTGCTTTAAAGTGCGCTTCTTCGTCTGTAGCTGTAGCTGAAGCCATAGCTAAGACGGCAGGCACCAGAGCCACGGTGCCTCGAAGGATGTCTCCCACTGACTTGTCTGGATCAGTCCACAGATCACACAGCTCAAACTGAGGGTTGCAACCGGTAGTACTAGTAGTGCTAGTAGCAGTAACAGCGCTCATCGTCATCTTTGTTCTGCTTGACCGCAATTAAATATTGTGGGTGGAGAAAAGGCACCCGAGATCCACCGACCACCGGCACGACGGGGAAATTAAGATCGCAAAAGAAGCCACACAGAAAAGCAAGCTTACCGTACACACCGAACACCATTCAAACATCTATTTAAGGGGTTGTCCAAAAGCTCATGACCGCGTGAAATTCTACTACAACCTGTGTTCTATGTGACTCATGTTCGTTCCGAGAATACATAGAGGACTACATAAAAGTCATCCAGTGTAGGCTCTTTTTCTCACTTCCCCTCTATTAATGATCTTCTCTTGAATGGCGTCTTGCAAGTCATTCTCCTGCGTTCTGTGAAGAACAATGGCCTCTTCAGCAAACTTCTACATAAACAGAGCAAACGCACCTGTTCGATGGCCTTCACAATAATTCTCCTACTAGTCTAGACTATTAATAATATTAAAATAGCTCTAGCTGGCTAGTTAGAGTAGCTACGTAGCTACTACTTTACGGTACGACGTGCAGTAGCCAGTAGAATCACCGCACAGCTCACATTCAAGCGCTCATTCAAGAGCCCAGAGTCAAAGAGCTCTTTTCTCTTTTCTTTTCTTCTTCTTTCTTTACATTGCTGGCTTGGCTTGTACTCTAGTAGAGCCAGTACCGTATTTCTCATAATTATTTGACCGACAGAGCCCCTTGAACTTTGAGTCAAGAATCGGCGCTAGTACATGTAGCTTGTGTTTCGGTAGCGGCCAGCTATTCGCACTCGGCACCAGAACTCCAGCTCGTCTCTGTCAATCCCAGTAATTTTATATTTAGAATACTCACTTTTTGCTGCAATTGATAAATAGCTCTGCTAGGCGAAACGAATTGGGGAAGCACTATTAAATTAAAATAGCAAGGAACAGGCGAAGGAAGAACAGGCAGCCGGAGGCTGAAGCCCCCACCTGGATTTTAAGAAAATATCCAGCTATTACAGGGGCCTCAACGCCTCAACGCTTCACAAAGAAATCAATACATGTAGACATTCAAAAGTAAAGAGATGGAAGAGACTAACTCATCTATGGAACAGGCTAAGAGTTTCCGTTATGGTAAGCGAGAGGCCGACAGACTCAGGAAGAGAGTAATACGTGCAAAACAGTCAAAAGAAGAGAAGGATGCTATAAAGGCGGCCACTAGAGAAAGAGTTCAAAAGCTTCGAGAGAGATG